CTAGATATGTTTTAAAATGCAATTTCAAGCATTTTTGGTTTTGATCATAGTAGGCTATTTTCAAAAAAATATCGATTTTATATCTATATTAGCATTCTATATCATTTATAATACCTAGATATGTTTTAAAATGCAATTTCAAGCATTTTTGGTTTTGATCATAGTAGGCTATTTTCAAAAAAATATCGATTTTATGTCTATATTAGCATTCTATATCATTTATAATACCAAGATTTGTTTTAAAATGCAATTTAAAGCATTTTTGGTTTTGATCATAGTAGGCTATTTTCAAAAAAAATATCGATTTTATATCTATATTAGCATTCTTTATCATTTATAATACCTAGATATGTTTTAAAATGCAATTTAAAGCATTTTTGGTTTCGATCATAGTAGGCTTTTTTCAAAAAAAATATCGATTTTATATCTATATTAGCATTCTTTATCATTTATAATACCTAGATATGTTTTAAAATGCAATTTCAAGCATTTTTGGTTTTGATCATAGTAGGCTATTTTCAAAAAAATATCGATTTTATATCTATATTAGCATTCTATATCATTTATAATACCTAGATATGTTTTAAAATGCAATTTAAAGCATTTTTGGTTTCGATCATAGTAGGCTTTTTTCAAAAAAAATATCGATTTTATATCTATATTAGCATTCTTTATCATTTATAATACCTAGATATGTTTTAAAATGCAATTTCAAGCATTTTTGGTTTTGATCATAGTAGGCTATTTTCAAAAAAATATCGATTTTATATCTATATTAGCATTCTATATCATTTATAATACCTAGATATGTTTTAAAATGCAATTTAAAGCATTTTTGGTTTCGATCATAGTAGGCTTTTTTCAAAAAAAATATCGATTTTATATCTATATTAGCATTCTTTATCATTTATAATACCTAGATATGTTTTAAAATGCAATTTAAAGCATTTTTGGGTTCGATCATAGGAGGCTATTTTCAAAAAAATATCGATTTTATATCTAAATTAGCATTCTTTATCATTCATAATACCTAGATATGTTTTAAAATGCAATTTAAAGCATTTTTGGGTTCGGTCATAGGAGGCTTTTTTCAAAAAAATATCGATTTTATATCTATATTAGCATTCTTTATCATTCATAATACCTAGATATGTTTTAAAATGCAATTTAAAGCATTTTTGGTTTCGATCATAGTAGGCTTTTTTCAAAAAAAATATCGATTTTATATCTATATTAGCATTCTTTATCATTTATAATACCTAGATATGTTTTAAAATGCAATTTAAAGCATTTTTGGGTTCGATCATAGTAGGCTATTTTCAAAAAAATATCGATTTTATATCTATATTAGCATTCTATATCATTTATAATACCTAGATATGTTTTAAAATGCAATTTAAAGCATTTTTGGTTTCGATCATAGTAGGCTTTTTTCAAAAAAAATATCGATTTTATATCTATATTAGCATTCTTTATCATTTATAATACCTAGATATGTTTTAAAATGCAATTTAAAGCATTTTTGGGTTCGATCATAGGAGGCTATTTTCAAAAAAATATCGATTTTATATCTAAATTAGCATTCTTTATCATTCATAATACCTAGATATGTTTTAAAATGCAATTTCAAGCATTTTTGGTTTTGATCATAGTAGGCTATTTTCAAAAAAATATCGATTTTATGTCTATATTAGCATTCTATATCATTTATAATACCTAGATATGTTTTAAAATGCAATTTCAAGCATTTTTGGTTTTGATCATAGTAGGCTATTTTCAAAAAAAAATATCGATTTTATATCTATATTAGCATTCTTTATCATTTATAATACCTAGATATGTTTTAAAATGCAATTTAAAGCATTTTTGGGTTCGATCATAGTAGGCTATTTTCAAAAAAATATCGATTTTATATCTAAATTAGCATTCTTTATCATTTATAATACCTAGATATGTTTTAAAATGCAATTTCAAGCATTTTTGGTTTCGATCATAGTAGGCTTTTTTCAAAAAAAATATCGATTTTATATCTATATTAGCATTCTTTATCATTTATAATACCTAGATATGTTTTAAAATGCAATTTAAAGCATTTTTGGGTTCGATCATAGGAGGCTATTTTCAAAAAAATATCGATTTTATATCTAAATTAGCATTCTTTATCATTTATAATACCTAGATATGTTTTAAAATGCAATTTAAAGCATTTTTGGGTTCGATCATAGTAGGCTATTTTCAAAAAAATATCGATTTTATATCTAAATTAGCATTCTTTATCATTTATAATACCTAGATATGTTTTAAAATGCAATTTCAAGCATTTTTGGTTTTGATCATAGTAGGCTTTTTTCAAAAAAATATCGATTTTATATCTAAATTAGCATTCTTTATCATTTATAATACCTAGATATGTTTTAAAATGCAATTTCAAGCATTTTTGGTTTTGATCATAGTAGGCTTTTTTCAAAAAAATATCGATTTTATATCTAAATTAGCATTCTTTATCATTTATAATACCTAGATATGTTTTAAAATGCAATTTCAAGCATTTTTGGTTTCGATCATAGTAGGCTTTTTTCAAAAAAAATATCGATTTTATATCTATATTAGCATTCTTTATCATTTATAATACCTAGATATGTTTTAAAATGCAATTTAAAGCATTTTTGGGTTCGATCATAGGAGGCTATTTTCAAAAAAATATCGATTTTATATCTAAATTAGCATTCTTTATCATTCATAATACCTAGATATGTTTTAAAATGCAATTTCAAGCATTTTTGGTTTTGATCATAGTAGGCTATTTTCAAAAAAATATCGATTTTATGTCTATATTAGCATTCTATATCATTTATAATACCTAGATATGTTTTAAAATGCAATTTCAAGCATTTTTGGTTTTGATCATAGTAGGCTATTTTCAAAAAAAAATATCGATTTTATATCTATATTAGCATTCTTTATCATTTATAATACCTAGATATGTTTTAAAATGCAATTTAAAGCATTTTTGGGTTCGATCATAGTAGGCTATTTTCAAAAAAATATCGATTTTATATCTAAATTAGCATTCTTTATCATTTATAATACCTAGATATGTTTTAAAATGCAATTTCAAGCATTTTTGGTTTTGATCATAGTAGGCTTTTTTCAAAAAAATATCGATTTTATATCTAAATTAGCATTCTTTATCATTTATAATACCTAGATATGTTTTAAAATGCAATTTCAAGCATTTTTGGTTTTGATCATAGTAGGCTTTTTTCAAAAAAATATCGATTTTCTTTATATGGATCTTCGCTTTTTCATATTTATAAAAATTAAAATTCGATGTTTCCTGCTTAATTCATGTAAACATATTCAACGAATTGCCTTTTCTATAGACATTTGATTATTGAGCGTTTAACAATAATCTTTAGAAACAAATAACCTGCTTATTGCAAAACAGGAGAGTTTTGAAGTCAGTTTGACTTTGCTGGATCTCATTTTGTCATTCTATTTAAAAATCAACATCATTCTACATAAATCAAATGCGTGCCTTTATACTTCTTCTATCGTACTTACCGCTACCTTAATGTAATCCTGAATCAGCTGAAAAAAAGTTGTCACAGAAGGAAATACATTCTGCTTTCTTCTTTTCTTGTGAATAATCTTTAATGGCAGAAAATTTGGCATGAATAGTCTAATTGGATTTTTGTCGATGCAGCAATAGCAAAAAAGAGAAAGGAACGACTAAAAGGAAGAAAAAATTGAAATATTGAGCAATAATGAACAAATTTTCCACGCTTACGAATTGATAAAAAATATATGATAAGTATTTGGGATAAGAAGGCATACATTTTTTTACTGACTATGCAGGGATTGTAAGTAACTTATTTCCTATTTTAAAATAAATTATTTAAATATTTGAGAACAGAATGAGAAGGCAAGAAATAAATTTATTGACCGATTACAAGTCACTCTTAAAGCTTGTATGGACCAATAATTTCATAATATCAACAGAAGATGATGAGGAAATTGAAAAGGAAATTAGGAGCAAGAAGGTTCATAAAGAAAATTTGTATGGATATTGCATCATCCTTATGTCATGTCTCTTTCTCTTCCTCTCCTAGAAAACAATTTCTAGTTTTAAATTCATGCGGCGTGTGCTGAAAGTTTTATTACTTTAATTATTCGCAAATATTGTATTGGTCATTAACCACTTTACCGGCTTGCTATAGCTGTACAAAGTTGGAACATCAATTAATGTAAATAATATATAATAATGCAATCACGTTTCTAAGCACACCTTTTGTGCATTTTTAATTTCTATTCTTTTAATTACAATCCACTCAGAAATATTAAAGTTCACACAGTTTGACAGATTCCCATCCAAGCTGTTTTATCTCAATAAATGCAAATGTGCTTCATATGTTGTCGAGATATTTTAAAGTTCATGTTTTGACATGTTTTTGACATTAAAGACATGTGGTTTGTAGTTTAACATGTTATCTTTGTAGTCATCTCATTCTCACTGATGAATAATGGAATTAAGTTGGTGATGACACAAGACAACTTCGAGTGGATCAAAAAATATGTAATTTAAACTCCCAATCGCATGTGTTACATTACCGAAACTTATTTGTTAAGCGAGAATGTGCTTCGATTTTTAAAAATTCTGACAGTTCCTCTCCAAGCTCACATGGTGCGAAAAAAAGAGAGTGAGAGTTACAAAGAGAGTGTGCCATAACAATTATGTATTCACAAATACATTTACAATTTCAAATCATCTGTTCTTGTGTAATATCAGGTTCTTATGTACTTCTGTATACAGCTGTATTTGTTAGCTGTAAGTATAGGAGAACTAGGGAACAATTAATGATGAAAGAAAATTTTTTAATTGAAAATCTATAAATTCTTGATGACATCTTCAAGTTTGCAGATCAAGTAATGTTAAAAGTAGTTTCTTTCACTGACGCACATCCAAACATATGGGAACTAAATTAATAATACTGTTGCTATACAATTAAAAGATACTAGTGCATTTTATTAGAAATCAATCAAAATAATCTTCAATATCAATATTCGGATTAAGGATATCATCTCCAAAAGGCGTCAAGTCTATTTGATTAAGGATGAGATTTTCGCAAGTTTCTTCGAGTCCAGTTTCACCAATCAATAAAGCTCCAACAAGACATCCATTTTTAAGTACAAACTTAATGTATTCTTTATCTGGTGTAATGCGGAATAAAAGCTCATAATCATCTTCAAGTCCTTGACCATTATATCGTCCCAGTAAAACAACTTGATAGCCATAAAGTTTTGTGACATGACTGAATAGTTCAAAGCAAAAGTCTTGATAAATTTCCTCATTGTTGAGCTTTGCAACCATACTTTTTCCAGCCATCATTCCCATTTGACGTGCTTGAGTCCATAGACGCATTTGATGCCAATATTTCGAATGTTCCCAACCAGCATGGCAGACATCTCCAGCAGCAAAAATTGAGTCAATAGAAGTTTTCATTAAATCGTCAACAAATATGCCTCCATCATCACTCAACTTAATAACTTCGTTCTCAAAATTAAATGTCTTAAAAGGTTCAACGCCAGTTGCAGAAACGACAAAGTCACAGAAAACTTTTTCATCATTAGCTAGTTCAATGCACACAGGAAAATTGTTGTCTGTACATAAACCAATGCTTTTAACTTCGGCATTATAATGAACTTTTATGTTTTCAGGTGACGAGCTCAAATTTCCTTTCATATCAATAAGACGATGCCAATCAGGTCCCAATGCAGCACCTCGTTTTAAACTCTCGGATGTTTCACGTTCTTCCATATATCTCATTCGCTTTACAATCATTTTATTATTCGGAGAATTTTTATTATTAAGACGTGACTCGAAAAATTTTGCTGCTCCTTGATCTATAAACGTTGACGATATGTGCTGATCTTTTATTATCCATTCAATTTCAATATTGCCGATTTCATAAATTATTTCTGATGCAATTCCGCCGTTTCCTATTAAACCAAATCTCTTGCTTGTTTTAATTCTCTTTTGAAATTCTTTGACTGAATCTGTATCACGGATCCCAATAATATAGCTTTTAACATTATCAGAAAAGTTTACAAGCTTTGGGCGAGATCCAGTGCAAATGCACATTAAGTTGTAGTTTATTTTCAGACCACCTTTTGTTATTGCTTCTTTCGTCTTACTCTTAATAATTGCTAATTCATCAGTTATAATTTTAATATTTGGCTTCTCAAAGTCTTTCGATATAATTTCCTGGATATCAAATCTTTGCGAAAACTTCCCCAACTGTACAAGATTAGTTACGGATTTAATTAATGATGATTCTGTTAAAAGGATGATTTTCTCTCCTGGCAATAAAAAGTTGATTGTTTCAGCACATGATACTCCTGCGATTCCTCCTCCAATAATTAGAAAAGTACATTCATTTTGATTGATTTCTGTCTTGTCTTGTCTATTGCTTTGACTTGTACTCATCATAATACTCTGAGTAGTCTCTAAATGGGACGTCATATGTTAATAAACCACGATCCTTTGCCCTTTCTACTGATACTAAAAGCTGAAGATGCTTCTTTTGACATAGACCTGTCTTTGACGAGCTTATTACCTAATTTACATGAATTTCTCAATAAACAACAGCTTAATATTATTAAGTAAAAAGCTAGCTTACCTTTCCCGTTTGCTGTGAAATGAACTGATTTAATAATTCAGTATTTTCTTCGTGAAGAACAAGGTATTCATCACGACACACTGGACATGGATTTCCTGTTGATAACTTACCGCTTCTAATGCAAGTTTTACGTGTTTTTCTTGGTGGAAATAAACCTTTGTAATTTCGCTTATATGGAACCCAAACAGCCTCTTCTCCGTATGTCTCTTTATATGCTGAACTCTTTAAATAGCGAATAGATGTTTCTACTGGAATTATTTTCGTTCGATCAATCTCTGATTCATCTAAATTCTTTTGATTTGGATTTGGTGGCAGTGGTTTTTCTTGCTCATCAGCATAACGAGCACTCGTTGTTGCTATATTCCTAATTAACGCACTCGAATATTGCGTATAATTATTTAATTTTAATAAATTTAAGGAACACGTTAATTTTGTGATGAAACTCATTTTTAACTTCCACGTGAAACACACTTTTTTGTTATTGTCTCTTCCAGTCGAATTTCCAGTCGAGTTCAAACAGTTCCAAATTTAATTAAATTTTTAAGTGTCGTTAAACATATTGACAGTTTTCAAGTTTTAAGGCAAGTAAAATGTAAAACACTTAATTAACACGATACTCAATCAAATCAACTGTTCTGTTTTCATTAAATCTCTGAATTTAACAAATAAAAGGAATTTGATTAAGAGGATTGGAAATAAACATGCTTTTTGGACATTTCCTGGAATTAAGACAATAGAATGCTCATAATAAAATTCCTAGTAAATTTTGTCCTGTTCGTTTTTCTGAATTTTGTCCTAAAGTAAGACAGTCTATAATTTCTTACAAATTAATATTAATCAAGTTTTATAAATAGGTATTTAATACATCAATCAATCATGTTAAGCGACGAGACATTCCCTATTGATTTAATTTCGGATGAAGAGGATTATTTTGGGGACGAAAACAACAATTTTCTGAATTTTCAATCGAATAATGAAATTAACTCATTATCCTCATCAGAAAATCACAACAGTTCTACAGAGACAGAACAATCAATGGTAAATTCAATGGAAACTGACAGATTGTTGAGCACACAATCAATAAAATTATCAGATGAGGAAGTTACACATCCAGAAGTATCATTTGCAAGTGAAATATCCCAAAATGTCATCAAATTGCAACCAAAAGCACCAATTAAGAAGAAAAAGTCCTTTTCGTGTCATAATCTCAACACGAGAAAAAGTGTTGGACATAATTATGATCACGTCGAATCAAAAGTTAAAAAGTTGATAGAAAATCTAGCTGAAGATCGTCGCAGAACCCTTTCAAGACACAAATCAATGCCTGTTTGTGTAGCGCAAGCACCGGTAATTGATGAGACGAAACCTGATTTAGAGGACGAAAATAGCGAAGTAAAAAAGGATCTACGGAGAAAAGCCATAAAGATTTATGAACTCGAAGAGAAATGCGAGATGAAAGATAATATAATCTATGAATTGGAACAAGAAAAATCACGAATGCGAATGGTCTTTGATAAACTTCGAGTAGAGATGCAAGAATTAAAAGATATTGAGAAGCAATACAAAAAGATAAAGGCTCAATATTCACCATTCAAGAGTTATCGAAATGCTATAATCCAGACAGACGACGATAGTGGCTATGATTCACAATATACAAAAGTTCTTATGCAAGAATCAGTCATTATCACACAACATCACAATGAGCATAATCATGTTCTGCTAAATCCACGACATTTGGAATTCGAGAATTCAGAATTGGACACAACGCACATAACAGAAATCAACAATACATCCCTTGATGAACTGCTTCCTGACTTAGATTTAACTGCCGAGCCTCACGATATTGATGAAAAATTAATAAGCAACGATAACGAAGCTGCAGACATTAAGTCCAAGAAATTGAACAAAAAGAAGAAAAAGTTTAGATTTTTCAAATTTGTACCTTGTGTATCATTCCATAAATAACTTACTTGCTCATTGAAGAGCCAAATTAATTAATTTTTAAGGAAAGTAAAGCTTCAAACTCTATAATCAGAGAAATATTTATAAAGGAAAGCAATTAATAAGTTCAAAGTTGAAAATCCTATTAAAGAAGCATTACTGTGCTATACAATTTATTAACTTAAGTAAATCAATCTTATGTACAGAATCTATTCTTCACTTCTTAGCCCTCAAACTTTCCGATAAATTCTTCTCCAAGACATTTTCATAAGTAGCATTATTGATCTTTGTTAATTCAGCCTCTGATGTTTGTCTTTCGATTCTTTGCTGTATTATGCTCTGATTGTAGGGTGTATATTTTGAAGACACTAGATCTATTTGTCAAATAAATTAATGTAAATAAAAAGAAGAAAAGGTTTTTACAAAAAATATATTTTGATTCCTAAATGACATTTTTTTCTCTTATTACTTTCAACATTATATCCAATAACACCAATCACGACAGCCACTGGAAACACAACATATCTTGCATTTGATCTTAAAAATCCGTAAACTAATGGCCACATTCTGTATTATAGTATTTTTATTTTATAAATTTTAATCTCGTGCCGGAAAATATTCTAGACTGAATTAAGTTTTTGAACTTTCCAAAATACTTCCAGTGCTCAAAATCTGTTTTTATTATATTCACATCGTATTTGAATGTATGGTTTTTGTTCAGCTTGTCAAGCTTTAAACTTTCAAAGATATATATCGATGATACTTTCGACAGTACAGTGTGAATATATCCACATTGGGTTTCTACCCGAAACACTAGTTTATTTAACTTTCCAGTCAAAGTATTGGTAAACAATGGAGCGTGTAAAGATAAAATTAATTTTTTTGAATGGACGGGCAATGACATTTAATGCTGATGACTATATTAAACTTAGGACAGAATATAGAATAATTGGGAAATTTATTGGAGTTTCTGCACCTTATCCTCGAAATGTCAACTTGCAGAATTTGCCAGCATGTTACAGCGATTATGAGACTAGATTAATGATTGACGAGGATATTGTTGATATTTATCAGAAAGATTTTGAGGAAGCACCAAGTGAAGAGATGAAGGTAGCATATCAAGATCATCAAAAGGGAATTCGTGAGGAATTAATGAATGCACATATGAAAAATAAGCTTGAAATCACTAAGCAAAATATGCAGCAGATAATCAAGGGAAAGAGGAAGAAAATGATTAAATCAGGCATTGCTGAAAGCGGTAAGTCATCGATATTGGCTTGAATTAAGTTCACTGCATGTCATTTACTTTTAGATATTAACATAACTGCGGAACAGATTATTAAGGAAGAGGAAATGAGATATCGACAGACATATAATCCACAAAATCTTCATTCACAAATCCCTACTGAGCATCCATTTCATCCATCAAGAAGTAAAAAAATTTACAGTTTTCCTGTATCCAATAAAGCAAAGTATCAAGTGTTTTATGATCTCTGGAAGAAAGGCTTTTTTGTCACAAATGCTGAAAATTTTGGTGGAGATTTTCTAACTTACAGCGGTGATCCAATATACTTTCATGCTACACAAATTGTTCATATTATCAACAGAGAAGAACTTTTGGAACCTCATTTTCTCATCAGCTGTGGTCGATTATCTGTGTCTGTGAAAAAGAAGTGCCTATTTGCCTATTTAAATAATGATTCTGTCATTTATCAAACGCTCGAATGGGACAATCCAAAAGTAAGAGATTTATATGCTGTAAATTATGATAAAAATAAATCTGATCTAGTTGAAAACTCATAAATATCCATTTTTACCTTAATTAATTTTATTTTACAGCATTAATTCAATTTATAAATCTCAAAATTTAACGGTTTATTTGATATTGAATGAACTGACACATAATGAACATGATTGTATTGCTGAACAAATAATATTTCCAAAAAGTTGTACCTTAATTAACACGTTATGTATGCCTTGTAGATCAAACTGATCATGATAACGCGTTTCACTGTGTAAAAATGCGCTAGATGTTATGTTTTGTTTATAGTAAAAGTCATGTTGAAGAGAACCAAATTTTTGTTAAATTATTCGCAAAAGAGGAACTATTATAATCTTTTGAGGCTTCGGAGCAGAGGATTCTTTCAAGAAGTATTTCCACATGAAGCCGTGTAACTAAATCATTTGATATTTCATAGATTAAAAGTAATTTTTAAAGATTTTCGTAAAAATTTACAGTGACAAAATACAAGCGGATCTTGGAAAGGCTGAACAGACAATTTATGCTGGATTTGATCCAACGAGTGACAGTCTTCATGTAGGAAATTTATTAGTATTACTTGGATTAATTCATGCACAAAGAGGACAACATCAACCGATTGCATTAATTGGTGGTGCCACTGGATTAATTGGAGATCCTAGTGGACGTAATACGGAAAGGAAACTGCTGGAGAATGAAATTATCAAGAATAATTTAATAGGAATTAAGAAACAGATTAATAGTATATTTGATAATCATCATACTTATTTCTGGGAGAAGAAATCAAAAAAAGAACAATTAAAGGAACTGATGATTGTCAATAATGCTGATTGGTATGAAAACATAAATTTCGTAGACTTTATATCGAAAGTTGGTCGTCATTTTCGTCTAGGTCAAATGCTTTCTAGAACATCTGTTCAAAGTCGCTTAGAAAATGAGGAAGGAATGTCATTTACAGAATTCACGTATCAAGTATTTCAAGCTTATGACTGGCTTCAACTCTATCAAAAATATAACTGCCGCTATCAAATGGGTGGCATGGATCAAATGGGAAATTTTATGACTGGATGTGAACTCATTACTCGTGTATTAAAGAAACAAGCTTTTGGACTGGCACTGCCAATAATTACGAATGAAGAAGGTAACAAGTTTGGAAAATCAGCTGGTAATGCAGTATGGCTTGATTCAAATAAAACATCAGAATTCTCATTCTATCAATTTTTCTTGAGGCAACCTGATAGTGAAGCTGAAAAGTTACTTAAACTATTTTCTTTCCTGCCAACAAATCAAGTATTTGATGTAATTGAGAAGCATAAAAGGAATCCAGAATTAAGAGAAGCACAAACATTACTAGCTAATCAGTTGACATTACTTATTCACGGTGAAAATGGACTAAAGAAGGCACAAAATGTCTCGAATGCCTTATATAATGGTGACATTAATGCTATCGGTGAAATGAAAAGTACAGAAGTCAAGGAAATATTCAGCGGTGCTCCATACAAAGAATTTCTCATGGAATCAGGAACAACTCTTATGGATTTAGCATTAAAAGCTGAATGTTTTAAGAACAAAAATGATGCACACCGAATTATAACGGCTGGTGGATTTTATATCAACATGAAAAGAAGCATTAATCCTCAAGAGATAATAGTGCCCAACATACATATTCTCAACAATGGCATTTCTTTAATTCGAGTAGGGAAGAGAAATTACTATATTGTAAGATGGTTGTAAGGCATGAGAGCATTTTTGAATAAAAGTTTCAAGCACTAGATTTAAAATAGTTTAACAGAAGTCTTCGTGTTATTGATTAAGGGACCTAAGCGCATTTTTGTGTTAGCGATCAGTATTTGATTATCTGATTATTTTGCATTCACTTACAGATCATGAGAAGGTTTCGAACATCATTAACTTCAGTGTAATTAACAAATAATTACAATGAATTTCCATAAAGAAAGGCTTTATTATTCAACGGTTTTAGAATTCAAATTTTCCAACGGTCAATAAATATTTGAAACTATAGAAGTAATGTTGAAATTATAGAGGGAGTCAAAAAATTTGAACAGGTTGCACAGTACTGAAATTAAAAAATCATTAATTATAGCAAAAAGCTAATGTTTTATGATTCAAAATTATTCGATCGACCAATAGCTCGATAGCACTGAGCTAATAAAATAAATCCGAGCTCTTTAAGATGTCTGGTTGCAAAGTTTTTAACGTGCCCCGAGCAGCAGAACACAGCGTATAATTAAGCTCCCTTTTCGAAACAAGTTTCAAAAATGCGCTAAAAATAATTAAGACTTTAATGATGAAGGTAAGCATGATAAAGAAAGACAAATGAATCATGATTTTTCAATAAAGCTGTTGTACGTTTATTTCACTTTTTAACATACGCGACTTTGTATGATTTCAAAAATTTAAATGATTTTACTCGAATACTTAATGAAGCATGTTTTCATGTCTGTGACAGTTACGCGTTTATTAATCTATAAATTAAAACATGGGATGTTTAATCTTCAGTTAAGTAGTATTACCAAAATTTAATTCATTCCGTTTTGAACGCTTCTTTGGAGAAGGTATTGTGCAGTTTCAATTTGCTTAGGAGTTCCAGTGATTGTAATAATTCTGTCTGTTGAACCCGGAAGAGGTTGATCAATTTTAATATAGGCTTTTGATTCGTTCCGAATACTTCGAATTCTGTTGCCTCCTTTACCGATACAAGCTCCAGCTAGATGTATAGGAATTGTAACTTGAGTTGAGGTCTCTTCAGGCTTGTTCATGAAACTGTTAAAGCCTATAAAATCATTCGACATGTTGCTGGTTCCAAAATTATTCATTGGTGGCATTATCTGATTATTCCCATAAGAATTCGATGTCCAAGGATCAACAAAATTGCTTTGGCTTTTGACATTTCTACGATTATCTCCTCGGCTATCTCTCGGACGTTCGTTATACAACCTACCACGATTATTATTATTATTATCATCGTTGTTGCTGATCTTATCATCATTAAAATAACGTTGGAAAGAAGTTGGATTTCCATTTCGTGAATTATTAATCCCGAATCCGCCATATTCGTCAGCATATTGTTCATCAAAATTATGTGCATCATAAAAACGAACTGCTCCTCTTATATTGTTCGAACTAGTCAGATTACTAATCTCGGTGAAGCATTGAATGCATTTATCTTCATTTGCAATAATTTGGACGACTCGTTCGAAGCTTTGAGGAGCAACTTTTGAAAACACTTTAACGTGACATCCAAATTGACTCTTTAGTTCCTTTATTCTCGATCCACCTTTTCCAATAATACATCCAGCTAAACTTTGATGGACGAGAAATCTCAAATCGTACTCATTGTTTTTTGATGGTTCAAAATGTTTAAAGATGTCTCGAATAACGTTATAGCATATATCCAAGGAAGACACAATTGTTAAAATACGTTCTGGACCTTTACAATCAATAATATTGATTTTTGCGTCGTGCTCTGCTCGAAGTTTCTGTATGTTTTGACCACTTTTTCCGATTATAGCACCAGCCATTTTTGTAGATATCAGCAAACGTATTTCAGCATCTTCTTCATTCTTACGTCTGCGTTTCGGTGGATTTACTGGTCCAGCATCCTTAAAGTCTTCATTCTCAACTTCATTGTTGACAATTTGAACTTCTGAATTTTCACAATTTTGATTTAATGCTGCCGGTTCCAATTCCTGCTTAATCTCTCCCTCCTTAACTATAATTTCGTCTTCTTCATTTGCACGTTTCATTTTAATTCACAAATTACAAGCTTTAGAGCTATTTCTACGTGAATTAACAATTTTGAACTTTTTAAGCGTGTTTCTTTAAACTTTAAAAGTATAAATCAAAGGTTCTAGCCCCTCTCGCTCACTCACACTACGATTTTAGTCCAAATCCAAAAAGAATTAAATTTTGTTGATTAATTTAAACGAGTTTTAAGCTTGAATTAAGTGAATAGAAAGGAAGTAAAAGTTTGTTAAGGTATTGTACTAGGAATATAACATAAAAAATGATCGATTGTACATCATTAAATAGCTTAAAATAGCAAACATGAAAATTTTCAAACGGGCCCTATCAATAGATTACGATATTTTTGAAAATTGAACCTTATTAACAGTATTTTATTTCATTAATTTAACTAGGATTACACAAGTTGTAACCAAGTTCAGGCACATCTAAGATAATGTATTACAGCGATCAAATTCAGCACATGCGTATAACGTATGTTAATGTAAGTACTTAATCAATAGCTTAATATAAAGTTTATTAAGCATTTTGTCATTATAGACACCTCCTGTTAATTATGTTCACTTCTCGATTCCTTTGACAAATTCAACGCCAATACGGTATGAGCATCGGGATGAAGTAGAACTTGAATTACAAGAAAAACGACGTGTTAATGCAGCTAAACGAGAAGAGCTGGCTAAAGAAACACAAGAACTACGTCAAATGTGTCGAGATATGACACTTGAATGGCAAAAGATGGCATCTGAACGCGAAGAAATTGATCGCGAATGCAAATTGATGAATAGTGAAAGATTAAAAATTAACTTACAACTTCATGCTAAACATGAAGAATGGAAATCAGAGCGCATGAAAATAGCTCAGGAACGTAAAGAATTTGCATTAGAGCGCAAGAAAATGGAAATAGAACGAGTACAATTTGCTTTAGAACGCGGAGAAATGGCACGAAAACGAAAGGCTGTCAATATTACGGTACCTGGATCAATTCAGGTATTTTGTGCTAATGAACAGCCAGTTCAAAAGCGTATAAAAGTTGTCAAGTCACAAGGTGGTTCGAATGTTGAAAAATCATTGATTCATGCACCAGTTTTGATAAAGCAAGTCAATAACTATACATTAAATTTCAATGCTCCAGTCAAGCTTCAACCAGTAGCTCCAAAGCGTCGAGCAGCTATTAAGGCAAACAAGAAGTTGGCCATGATTAATGAAGATTAAATTTTAATTTTAGGGGTCGTTCACTTATTACGTTACGCAAAAAAACTACTTTTTTCACCCCCCTCCCCCCTTGTTACAATATGTTACAACTCACACACTCCCCCCCCCCCTGAACGTTCATAATTTATTTTATCATTAAAAAGGTGGAAAATTTAAAAAAATGTTTTCGGTGTTAATTTTCGTGAACTTACTCATACTTCTTGACACCCCCCCCCCCCCCTTATGTTACATTTTGTTACAAATTTTCAAACCCCCCCTCCCCCCTAAAATGCGAACGTAATAAGTGATTGGCCCCTTTTAACACTTACTTATTTACGAGTGCCTATTAAAGTAAAGGCAATTAAAGGTATAAGAAGAAAAAAACTTCGAAAAAATAAGGTTTCGAATTTTTGAAAGTCGGTTTTTTAATGGGCACTCCTTAATTACATATGTTTACAACAAAATGAAAAACATTATGATATTATGATTTAATATAGAATATTTATTGAAGATTATTAATAAACTTTAACATTGAAAAATAATAAATTAGGTATTAGAAATTCATTATTCAAGTGAATTCTATTTATTACACGAAATATATAACATCAGCGATAGTCTCAATAGCATATAAACTGACTATTATTATCATAATAATATTTCCCACAAAAATCAATTTAAGGAATGCACTTTTAAGCCACAATATTTACTGAGTTTTCTTATTGTTTGGATTATTCTGATTTAACGAGTCGTAAGCTGGTGGAATATCGTAAGTTTGTTGCTGTTGAACAAATGCTGAATTCATATTACGAGGATCATAAAATGCAGATGCTGCTGCTTCTTGTTCTTTGGTCACTAAGTTAAAAATTTAATAAATATTGAAGAATATATAGGCATTATAATAAGTTTAACTTACTAGGTACCGGAGCTGAAGGCGAATTGAATCCGAATGCTTGTGTTGGTAATGTTGGATAAGAAGTTCCAGCATTTTGAAATCCTGCATTTTGTGGACCAGTTGGATATCCTGGGACAGTATTAGACTGTTGAGCGCCTGGGTATTGTGGAGCAGCATTTGGATAAGATGCAGCACTGCCAGGAACGTAACCATATTGTGGTGGCTGAGAAGGAAATCCTTGAGCTTGAGGATTATAATTGGGCTGTGCATAATTTGGGGGATTAGGGTTAATTCCTGGATACGGGGGAGGTTGATCATTCATCTGCAAGTAATACAATCATTTATTTAGCGAATTATAAATAAATTAAAGGGATAAAGCGCACATAAACCCCATCTGTAGGCGCCTGTCCAAAAGCTGCATTTTGTGGTAACCAGCCATAAGTTCCAGCAGTTGGGGTATAACTCGGAGGTGGAGCTTGATACCATCCGCTACCTGAAATTAAGTCAGTAATACATGATTAATATTGAGTCTCGTAGAAAAAACTCAACGGTACCTGGCGGTTCGTAAGGAGGTGGTGCCATTCCATGTGGGGAGTTTCTTTGTGCCATTGAAGCTGCTCTCAATAAAGCCTGTCCAAAATCGATGCAGCCACCAGATTTAAATGACATTTTAAACTTTGTTTCGCCTGTAAAATTTCCATTTGGTTGTGCTCGAATTTTCCCCTTAATATAGTTTGCACCAAATACTGGCTGCATTAATTAAATGAGAAAAAAGAAATCTTATCTTTAAAAGTTGATCGAGAAATTTATAGTTTAATCTTACTTGTTCTAACTCAACATCGCTCATTGAGATGAAAGGAGAACTAAATGATTGCATAGGATCCTTGCCGTTTTTACTATTAAAAATGACTCTATGAGTAGTCAGATAAATTCGACCTTGCTATAGACATTTAAAACAAAAACAATAAAATATGATTGGTGAAATTTGCGTACTATTGAACGAAACTTCATCGTCAATTTACCTTCGTGCCTTTAAAAATTGGACCATCCTGACCTGCAAATTCCATCGAAACATTGTCACTAAACAAGAGAATTCTAGAGATATGAGCAATAATTATTTGTCAAAAAAGTGATTAAAAGAAATAGGCAAAATAATGTTATTTAAGTGAATATCTTACGTTTCACCAGCATGAATCAAGACTCCACCATTCGCATGTGCTGTATTAACACTCATTTTGAATTTTTATCACTTGTTTACCGATTAAACACAGAAAAAAATTAAATAATTAATTTCACAATTTTACAAAGTTTATTTCTAGAAAATATATGAGTCAGACTTCCAGTGGTTAAAAAGTGATTAATGGAAATTTCCACTGGAAAATGATAATCACTGGAATGTTTGTTATTATTTTGATTTTGAAAAATAAAAATAATCATGATTTTGCGACGAAAATTCTCGTTAATTAAACTAAAGCAAACTATCAGATTATGCTCACAGAAATCAAATCAGCTGTTGAATGGTAATCAATCTGAAATTAATTTTCGCTTTTCGTGACATCAATTAGATAATTTGCAAAAATTACAGATCAATTAAGGATCAGCGCATATCAACCTTCAAGAATCGAAGATGTAGAGATATCTCAGGTATCCAGCAATGTCAATGAAAACAAAAGGTATTCAATGATATTTCCACCACCAAATATTACGGGAAACTTACATTTAGGGCATGCATTAACTGCAACAATTCAGGATGTCATTGTGAGATGGAAAAGGAAACAAGGAAGTGAGATACAGTGGATTTTTGGAACTGATCATGCTGGAATTGCTACACAAGTCGTTGTGGAGAAGATACTTCATAAGAAATATGGAAAAACAAGGCATGAAATTGGTAGAGAAGAATTCCTCAGAGAAATTTGGAATTGGAAGCTTGAAAAAGACTGTTCTATTAAGGATGACTTAAAAAAATTAGGCACAACATTTAATTGGGATAAAGAATATTTTACACTAGATCCTAATCTCAGTAAAGCTGTAAATGAAGCATTTATAAGATTATTTGAAAGGAACTTAATTTATAGAGATAATTCATTAATTAATTGGAGTTGTGCATTAGAATCAGCAATTTCAGATATTGAAGTTGAGAATTTAGATATTACAGGAACAACTCAAATAGTAGTTCCAAATTATGATAAAAATGTCACTGTCGGTGTTTTAACTGATTTTGCATATAAAATTGTCGATTCCGATGATGAAATTGTCGTGTCTACAACTCGTCCAGAAACAATGCTTGGAGATACAGCTGTCGCAGTTCATCCAAATGACTCACGATATTCTCATCTCACAAATAAGAAACTTTATCATCCGTATAGAAATGATTTAATTCCGTTAATCTTCGATGAGTCTGTTGATCCAAATTTTGGAACTGGAGCTGTTAAAGTCACTCCTTCACATGATAAAAATGATTTTGAAATGGGAAAGAGACATAAATTGCCAAATATTAATGTAATTAATGAGAATGGATCAATAGCTGATAACTTTTTACACTTTAGTGGTCTTCCACGTTTTGAAGCTCGTGAAGTCATCCTTAATGATTTAGCTAATTTACAGCTCCTTCGTGGATCTAAATCTCATAACATGGTACTTCCAATATGCTCAAGATCAAAAGATATTGTTGAATTCTTGATTAAACCTCAATGGTACGTAAAATGTAAAGAACTATCGAGTAAAGCAGTAAATGCTGTTGAGACTGGAGATATAAAAATAATCCCTAATATTTTTGAGAAAGAATGGTACAAATGGTTGACAAATTGTCGAGATTGGTGTATATCAAGGCAACTTTGGTGGGGACATCAGATTCCAGCATATAAATTTACCAACATTGAAAATGACAGAGAAATTTGGATAGCTGCACATTCACAAGACGAAGCAGAGATAAAATTTAAGCAGAATAATAATTTCATTGATTATAAAGTCACAAGAGATCAAGACGTACTTGATACTTGGTTTTCATCCGGTTTACTGTCATTTACAGTATTTGATTGGCCAAACAGCAATAATGACGGTTTTAAAAATTATTTTCCATTAAATTTAATGGAAACTGGACATGATATTTTATTCTTTTGGGTCGCAAGAATGGTAATGCTTTCAATTGAATTAACTGGTCAAGTTCCATTCAAAGAGATTCTTTTACATGGAATTATGTGCGATTCATTTGGTCGAAAAATGTCAAAAAGCCTTGGAAATGTTATTCTACCTGAACAAGTTATAAAAGGTGCTTCATTGGATGATTTAAGAAAAGAAACAGAAAAGTCTGTTGAAAAAGGAATTTTAAGTAAAACGGAACTAGAAAAAACTATTCAAGGCCAGAAGAAAATGTTTGTGAATGGAATTCAAGAATGTGGAGTTGATGCCTTAAGATTTACTCTTTGTTCACAAAATACTAAGCAACATTTTATTAATTTTGATGTCAATGAATGCGTCACTAATAAGTTGTTCTTTAATAAAATATGGCAAGCAACAAAATATGCCATTAATTACGCTGAAGTTAAAAATATTAAAGTAAAAGAAATTAAAGATATAGATCATGGAAAGTTATCGACTATAGATTTGTGGATACTCAGTAGATTAGGAAACACTATCAAAACAGTAAGGCATGCAAATGATGACTATAACTTCCATTTATCAACATCAGCGCTTAAAAACTTTTTCTACAATAATTTTTGTGACATTTACCTTGAAACAACCAAAAATGATCTAAAGGAACTTGATTTCGGCATTGCTTCAGCAAAAATTCTTAACTTATGCCTGTCAGTTGGATTAGATTATCTGGAAATATTCACGCCTTATTTGGTTAAAGAACTGAGGAATTATTTGCCTGAAAATGTTCAATTTGATGCTGAAAAGTATGTTAATAACGAGCTAGAAAATCAAGTTAAAGAGCTTCTTGACATTTGTGCGAGTATACGAGAAGCTAAATCACATTTAAAGCTGACAAAGAAGCATAAATGCTTAATTATAATTCATGCGGAAAATCCAGAAAATTCAAAGTTCCTTAACGACAATTTAATTCACATGCTGCATCTGACATTCAGCGATAATATGGAAATAATAACAGATAGATCAATATTTGATAGTAGGAAGTTGGACATGACATTAACTGCCAATCACATGTGCTCATTCGGTATCAAAATAATGGAGCCACGTGATAAATCGAGTCTATCAGATGAAGCAATAAACACAAAGAAACTTAAAAAATTAGAAGATGAGCTGTTAAACATGCTTAATGTTGTTTCTAAAGATGGATATAAAGAGAAAGCCAATGAAAAGGTTCAGGAGAAACATAATAATAAGGTAATTTAAATAAATTGTTACAACGATAATTTTTGAATGTCGTTCAGTAGACCACAGTTCATTTCAATTCAGTTCAAAATTTGAATTTTCAAGATCTTTTGAATATTAATAAATCGTTATTTATTGTAATTTTTATTTTCAGATTGAAAAGCTGAAATTAGAGATAGACAATATCAAGCAAATAAGCAGGAAATAGCGCCAATGATTAAATTTCATAGAATAAACAATTTGACAGAATAAAATCATTTTATTAAACATAATTCTAATAATTGACTGATATTTTCAGATAGAAACTTTATGTCATTTAAGTGCTTATTAATCCATGTATTCTCAATTAAAATTAATTCATTTAAATTTTCCATTTCACTTATAAATGAAAGTTTTATACTTTCAATTCGATTAAAAGACATGTCGATATATTGAAGCTTTTTTGGAAAATTTTCTGAAATTATTTTAATTCTATTTTCTTCCAAATTTAAATAAACTAAGTTTATTAAGTCCTTTAGAAATGAAGTTTCCTCAATTCCATTAAACTGCAGATGCAATTCCTTTAGATGCAATTCCTTTAGATGCTTTAAATTTTCAAACGCACACTTACTAATTTGAGTTATTTCGTTTGAGTCAAGCTTTAAAACTCTTAAATTAAAGCTACCAACTTATGAAAAATAATAAAAACTGTTAATAGGTCTCATCTCAAAATCGCCACAACTGTTTTATTGGCAATTAAATTGCATGAGTATGGTCCATTCACAACATTGCTAGTCGAGTACTCAAAGTTACATCCAATATAACATGTGGTCTGGTTTAAAACGGATATTATTATTAGAATCATTACCGCCTTTCCAATCACACGAATCAATATATACTGATTGAAATTATGTACTTACTATAATTATTGCTAATAAGTTAAGTAAACAATTTTTCCGTTGGAAATAAATTCAAATATAGTGTGGAAGTTCATGAATTTGATACAACAAGGAATAAAAAACAACAAGGAAAATGTTCCGAAATTACCAAAAATTGTATACCATAAACAACTTGTCTATCAACCAGAATCTAGCTGGATTACAGAGCGTTAGATGGCGTAGAAAGCCACGATGGTTACCAACAGCACCGAGTAAAGTTTTTAAAGTTCCAGAAAGGCATGTTTTGCCATATGATGAGAAAATTGAGTGGCAGAGATTAAATAACAACTATAGGTGATTTAAATGTGACTATTTTAATACATTAATTAATTTATATGCATTTCCAGAACTCAAGTGAACTCAATCAGAAGATATTTAATTAAAGAAGTCGAAGAAAGACAGAAAATGTTTGAGTTACAGGAAACTCCAGCTGATGAAGAGGCTGAGTTCCAGAGATGCTTTGTAATGAATCAGGAATGGAATCAAGAGATTGCTAAAGGTCGCATATCCAGAGTTGAAGGAGAAAATGAAAAGAGACGTGAAGAAATTCTTTTAAATCTCGAAAAAAGGAAGCAACGAGAGGAAGTGATTTTACATCATGTTGAGGAACGAGTAAAACTCGAAAAGGATGTTGCTGAAACATTTATAACTAGGGAAACTGTTGATCGAGCAATTGAAATTGCACTAGCCAATCCAGTTGACTTTAATTATTCTATCGATACTAATGGAAAAAGATCAGACATTGTAGAGGAACAAAAGAGCCCTGAAAATCTGTAATTAACAGAATAATTTAGTCATGAATTTAATAAAGTAATTCATTTATTTGAGAACATTAAGTCAGTGGTATATTTATGTTGGAGTAAGTTTATCGAAAAGCCAGTGCCAATCTGGAATAACGTTATATTTGCCATGAATTTCTCCAATACTGTACATATTAGCACTACGTTCTTGAGGATTGGAACTAATTGAAACGACATTCTGTTGATAATCTATTGGAATTGCCGTTTCGACATCATATACATAATCTCCAATCATTAATTTAGTTTTTCCTGATCTATAACGTACTAATTTTCCAATCAGTCCTTCACTAAAATGTTCTAGTGAACTTAATTTTTGCATCGGTTTTACTTTAGACGCTTCATCATCAGCATTTTCTCTAATTGCCTCTTCATCGTCTCGCAATTTTTGAGGTAATGCATCAGGCATTTGAAACAGAGCAACTTCGTTGGATTCTGGACGAAAGAGTCGATCCATTCTATGATAATATTCTGTTTTGAGCTCAAATCCAGGTTCCACTTTGACCGAAGGAATTCCATTTGTGCTTGCCTGATCACAAGTAGGTTCAGTTTTTACTGAAATTGAAAGGATAAGCGTTAATTTACTTCATAATATGACTTCAAAAGTGTTACAAACCAGAGTTGCGACGACAGGTACCTGTCACAAGTTCAAATCGAACCGGAAGCAACTTTCATTTTTTTTGCATTTTTATACTTTTTGATAAAATATTAAGTTTTATGATAAATTTTTTCAATTTTCATATTTCCTTTTTGAGTGAAATTTGATATACTTCAGAAAAGGAATAAAATTTAAATAGTGACAGATCAGACCTGTGACAGGTGTGCTGTTTTCGTTGATCTGTGACAGATCGCAACTCTGCTACAAACAAACAGCTTATCAATAAACTTACCATCGACAGCTTCTAATTTAATTTTAACATCTTCAAATTTTACATTGTTACTGGTTGCATCTAATTTATACAAATGCTAATTTAATACGATTTTAACTACATAAATAAGATGACAAATAACTTACGACAAATCTTAATAGGCACGATTTCGTCTGACGGCATTTTGATTTCATCATCATCTATATCATCTTCTTCTAGTAAATTGCTCAAAATCTTTTGCTCTTTCTCTAAATCCTCCTTGTTGTGCTTAATTTCCCGTTTGATAAGACGAGGTTTCTGTATGACTTCATTGCTTCCTGTATCCTTTGAATAACTTCCAGCATACTCTAAATAAAAGAGATTCAGTGATCAATATTTTTGATGGAATCTAAACGTTTACCTCTTTTTTGTTGCGCTACATCGCTTATTCCTTCAGACAGAAAGCCCATCGTTTGGACCAAATTTGGATTGACCCGTTTATTATTTGGTCGTGCATCCTTTCCTCTTTGATTTCTGCCCCCTCGATTATTTTGGTCCTTTTTGTTATCTTTTTCATTCGATTTGACATCCCTAAAAGTTATTAATTGGATTATTTTTATTCTAAAAGTTTTAATTAATCCACTAGCTTACAGATTTTTATTTCTAATGACGTTTAAATTTGGTGCATAATTATTTTTCTTGCTATTTTGTGATCGCTGATTATTTTTACTGTTCGTTAACAGTAAATCTGGTGGTTTAGAGAATGTTTTTGACAATCGTTGGATATTAAGGTTCTCGCCATTACTTTCTGGTTTACCCTCCTGTTTAGACATGTCTTCTAATCACTATAATTAATTAACTTATGATTTTATGAGAAAAAAAATGTGTTTATTTTTTTTTTTTTTGTTATTGTTTTTGTCGCATAAATTCAAAAACTATTTTACGGTTAAAATTGAAGAAGAAAGTTTGACAAATTGTCCTTAAACTCAATTGATAATTTGTAATACTGGCTAAAATCAAATAATAGTAGCTTTTTAATGGTTAATTCAATAAGATTTAAAGGAAATTCGATAAATAAACAAAGAAAAATAAGTGAAAAAAAACGGTTGAAAAAGATTTGGAATTCGACTGAAAATTCATAATAAGTGCTGACTGAAAGTCGTGAAAAGTATTTTATTAATTAAACACTAATTAAGCGAGATGGCTGATAAAGAGAAAGCAAAGATCGATCTTGGATTATTAGAGGAAGACGATGAATTTGAAGAATTTCCAGCAGAAGGTATATGAAGCTGTAAAATAGCATACTTAAATATTTTGGACAATGACAAGCAATTTTATACAAAATAGGTAACAATAAAAACTTAATTACAATTTTACATCATTACAGACTGGGTAGAAACAGAAGGAGACGATGAAGAGGCATTAACAGTATGGGAAGATAATTGGGATGATGATAATCTCGATAACTTGGATGATTTTAATGAGCAATTAAAACAACAAATGCAAAAATAAACCAATCCTTTCTCATTATACTTAATTTCTAAGGTTTAATAAATATCTTTTCAATATAAAAGAAGTAAAATGATGAAGTTATAATTTAATCAAGTAACAAATTTTGTACTTTATTATTTGAATTTTTAAGTCGAATATTCCAGATTTGAACCTAATTTGGTGTGGAAGTCATTGGAAGTATTTTTGAATGGAATTTTTTACCGCTCATTTCCAGGATTATTCCAATGGACTCAAATAAAGAAAACTGCACGCGAAATAATAAGAAGAAATTAAATTATTGTTATTGTGGTTTTAAGCCGGTGTTTATTAAGTTATTACTGTTTAATTAAAACTTTGTACATTAAGGTTGTTGTAAAAGTAGTTTATTAAGTTTTTAAGTATAATATAAAGAGTAAAATAAGTTAAAGAGGGGTTTTAAGAGAGCAGTATTAAGGAATTTCACAACATGTCGCGTCCAAGACGAGCAGCATCGCAAAAAGTCGTTCAGCAACAGAAATTAGACTTGTCTGATATTGAAGAAAGTGATGATGACGATTTTTCGTCTCAAAGTTCTGACGATTATCAGCCTGACAAATCAAAGGATAATGAAAAGACTTTTGAGGAATCAGAGGAATCTGAAGCCATTGATGAAAGTGAGGCTTCTGAACAGGAAGATGATGGGTCACCCGTTAAAAATAGCAGATGGAATAACAGGTATTATATATATTCTAATCAGTTTTCGATCTTTATTTTAAAATAAAGTAATTAATCTCAAAGGAAAAAGCCCAAAATGCCACAAAACAGACAAAGGAGTTTGTCGGCCTTGCAAAAAGAAGCAATTAGCAAACTTAATGCTGTCAAAACGCCTAGTTCATCTTCATTAAGTCAAAATCTACATGACATTCTCAAAAAGGCACAATATAACAAGAAAAGTGTCTTTAGTGACTCAGAATCGGAAGCAGAAAATAATAAAGTTCCAACATTTGATTGTTCTGGCGGTTTACGATTATCTGGAAGTGATGATTCTGAAAGTGAAGAGAATGCACCAAAAGTAAAAGCAACACAAAAGAAGAAAAGAGCAGATTCAGTGAGCAGTATTAATGAAGAATCAGGAAAACCAGCGATGGATCTTAAAGCAATTCATGATAATTTAGAAAGAATGAACCACGATAGAGAAAAGCTCTCTAAATACGCCGCATTTAATATTTCAAATGAAAAAACGGGCAATGATGATAATGTTGCTGATTTATTGTTAATGGGAGAAAATGCTAAAAAGATTGGGGCATCACAGAAGCGAAAAAAAGCATCTCAAGGTGACGATTCCGATTCAGATAATTGGGAAGATGTTGAAGGTAAAAGAACACGTTCTAAAAGTGATATTCCAAGTTATGTCAGATTCCTAAAAAGATTTGAATATGATGAATAAAATTAAGGGGGCCCCGAGTGACGCTTTAAATCTTAAATATCTCACGAATGAACAAAATTAAGTTAAAAAATTGTTTCAAATTTTTTTTGTCGTTTGTTGTTTGTTTACAAACAAAAATGAAAACGAAATTTCAAAAGTCTTGAAAATATCACTCAATACAGATGTTTTGGTTTCTGGAACGTTTAAAATAGCTAAAGTATCAAATGTTTTGCCTCGTTAAACCATTAGTTTTGTGGTAAATAATTGAATAATTGAGATTTTAAAGAAAACATTTTTTGTTGTTTTGAATGATTTAGTAATATAGATTAGTGAAAATTTCAAATTATTTTTTTCCGTTGGGCAAAAATTCTAAAAAAATCGTCGAGGCCCAAGGAAATAAAGATGTAATAAAATAATAGTGAATATTATTACAGAAGATGAATCGAGCAGTTATGTGCGACCAAAAGAAGACGTAGAGATTCTATTAAACAGTTTTGGAGAGCAACACACCAAGAAAGATGCAAAACCAGTTGATGTTGAGGCTCAACTAAAACGAAAGTTTAATAGGAAAAGGAAGGAATATCAAGAACATTTGCACAAAACTGAACTTATGGCCTGGTTAACTCATGGCAATTTCGTTAATGAACGTTTAAACTATTCAGGATTGATGAAATGTGCATTAGAAATGCTCCCAAAGACCAAAGATAAGGCACAATGCTATCCAACAGACAAAACAGATGTTGAATATTTCACACAAATCACAAAATGGTTCAAGCAAACAATAAAATTAAGAGAACAAGGCATGTACTCAAAGTTTGAAAAGCGTCCACCATTAGCTGTAAGTTTAGCAATTCAAATGAAGTACAAAACTGCCATGTGTCGACGAGATTATGTACTTATGTACATCATTCTGTTAAGAGCTATAGGCGTTCAATGTAGAATGGTTCAATCCCTCGTTATGGATCCAAAAATTTGTCCAAAATCAGAATTAATGAGCTTGTCAAAGAAGGAAGAAAAAAGTATCGCTGGAAGCACTAAAAAGTCGTCAAGCAAGTCGAAAAGTACAAATACTAAGAAAAATAATACCAAATCCAATAAAAATACAAAATCAAGGTCTAAAAAAGCTTCAGAAAAACCCAAAATTCCACAACTTGATGGCGGTGACAATGAGATTCCAAAAGATAAAAAGAAAAGAGCAATAAAGTTAAAAGGCTCATCGTCATTTAATGTTGATGATTCGTATGTTGATATTAATAAAATCAGTAAAGTTTCAACAAAGCAAAGCAGTAATCCACAATCAGAAAATTTGTCACCAAAAGTTAAGGTATCATTGTCGACATCAAATCAGAATAAAGTCTCATTATCCGAAAAATTACAGAAAAATGCCAAGACGAATAGATTAAGCCAACTAATGTCACCAAGGAAGACTAGAAGTGCTAGCAGAGAAGTTTCGCCATTAATTATTAAAAAAAAAGAATCAAAAATTAACGGAGATTCAAGTCTTTCAAAAAATAGCACTTCTAAAGTAAAAATCACAAAAAAAGCTGAGAATAAGGATGACTTTAAAGTCCAAACATCTCCAAGACGGTTAAGAAGTCGAAGCACGGAACCGACTCAAGAGAATCAAGAGATAATAAAACAGGGCGTTAAAAAACCTAATTTAAATTCATTGACACAAAAAACTCCCCCAAAACCCATTGATAATGTTAAATCTAATGATAAGCTCTACGTTCCGTCGCCTAGACGATTGAGAAGCAGAAGTCTCAGTTCTGAAAATCCAAAAAATAAATCAAGCACTCCTGCAATTGAAAATATCACTAAAACTGCATCAAGGAAGCGACTATCAACTGTTAAAGACAATTCTATAGAATCTAAAAAATCAAAGGTAACAGAAACAGCCAGATCAACAAGAAAACGACAATCTACTGTCAAACCAGAAGTTGTTGAAGCAAAAAAGCTTAAGCAAGAGAAAGATGATGATTCTGATGATAGCAGCTTGAAATATTTCAGAACAATATCTGGGTCGAATAAAAAGCCACAAGCATCAACATCACGAATATCGGTTATAAAAAAAGATACAAAGCTGTCTACATCGATGGAAATTGATAGAAGAATTCTGTCCTCAGATGATGAGGTTGATATACAAAATGCATCACCGAAGAAAGTTCGAGGAATTGACATTTGGACTGAAGTCTATTGTGAAAAAGAAGAGAAATGGATCTGTATTGATATCTTTCGCAATAAAATTGATTGTGTTAAGGATATTTATCAAAAAGCAACACATCCAATGATCTATGTATTTGCATGGAATAATGATAAGACCGTTAAGGATGTTTCAGCACGTTATTGCATTAATTTAAATACAACAATCCGGAAAATGCGTGTCGATCGCGAATATTTATATCCAATTTTGAACATTTTCAATGCTGGTTCCAAAAAGACACATAGGGATTTTAAGGAAGATGAGGAATTGAACAAAGTACAATTCGATACACCAATGCCAAAATCAATTGCCGAGTAAGTGCTATGTATATATTATATCTCTTTTATGACCGTTTTTATCGCACAAGATTCTGAGAAAATTTTCAGAAAACTACAGCTTAAACTCAATGACTTTCTACCGAGTTGGTTTTTTGCATTCGTGAAGTATGTGATTTCATACACAAATTCATGCCGGCTTAAAAGTTGACGGCTTTGATCTCTGTAATTATTTCATATTATTCATATTTCACAGGTTCAAAAATCACCCGCTGTATGTTTTAAAGAGGCATTTGTTGAAATTTCAAGCAATTTATCCACCAGAGCCTCCAATTTTGGGCTACATTCGAGAAGAAGCAATTTATCCACGCGATTGTGTATTTACATTACATAGTCGTGAGACATGGATAAAGGATGCTCGAGTTGTTAAATTGCATGAACAAGCATATAAAAATGTTAAAACTTTGAAGTTTGATCGAGCAAAGAATAAAGTTATTAGGGATGTTCCTTTGGAACTATTTGGAATATGGCAAACTGAAGAGTACAAACCACCAAATGCTGAAAATGGAATCGTACCTAGAAATGCATATGGAAATGTTGAGCTATTTAAGCCAAGTATGTTACCCGGTAATACTGTTCATCTTCAATTGCCTGGCTTAAATAAAGTTTGTCGAAAATTAGGAATTGATTGCTCTCAAGCTATTGTTGGATTTGATTCTAGTGGCGGATGGCCTTATCCCGTTTATGATGGATTTGTTGTTTGTAAAGAATTTGAAGAGAAAGTAATTGATGCATGGAATCGTGAGCAAGAACAAGCAGAACAGAAAGAACGTGAAAAGATTGAAAAACGAGTTTATGGAAATTGGAAGAAATTAATTAAAGGATTGTTAATCAAACGTCGCTTAATGCAAAAGTATAATAATTTTGAGGAAAAACACTAAGTTTTATGTCTGTTTCCAACATTTATTTTTTCTATGTTTTGAATAAAGCCTTAATCTTTTATTTGACTAGAAATTTTGTCTTCATTTTTAATTAATTACAACAAATTAAAGAGTGTCGAAAGATAAGCTTTACATGATTTTGTTCCTTATTTTTCATGTTCATTAACGATTGTTTCCGCACTAGAAAAGTAATCAACTTTTGAGGATGTCAAAATTGTTGCTGCTCCTGCATTATCTAAAAATATAAATTGGTATTTGTTAAAGGATGATATTTAAAAGCTGCATATACAGCACAAGCATTTAAAGTAGGAAAATCTTGTCTTTATGCTCAAAATTTAACTTTGCATAACTTTATTTTACGTCTCAGGGAACTGTAAACATGCTTAATATCTAGAAACAAGCGTCAAAAGACAGGACTAGACAGGCACTTAAAAATTCTAAGAAACGTTTTCTTCTTATAAACTAAATGTTTCGAGAATATCTCCTATTAAAATGTTCCTGCACTCAAAATATAGATAAAGATCTAAATCTATTCTTCGTTAGTTCCAGTGCTATAATAAATTTCCTGGATCTTTAAAAAGTACGAATTCCAAAATATTGATCCCCATATAATCCCCGTTCTTTCTAATAGATTCTTTTTTGTCAATTTGAGTGCCATACCTTTTAAACTCTTGACTTTAACTGCGTGCTTGATAGTCTTCATGTGTCTAGCTAATGAGCTCTTTGACTTATAATCAGAGTCACATGTATTGCACTTGAATGTTGGTGGCAAGATTTCATCGACTTTTTCGTGATGAACAGTCACAGGACCTGCTGAAATCGTACATCTGCGCTTCATAATTTTTGGTTTCTTTGGTGCGCTAGACAATTCCTCTGAATTAGAAATACTCAATAATTTTTGTCCAATTTCAAGATCCTGGATGTTTGAGGGTCTCTTTTTTTGTTCAGATTTTTGTTTTTGCGACTTTAATGAGCTCGTCGAAACAATTGATATGTCTTTATTGCTCTTGTAGAATATATCGCATGCATTGTCATGCGTTTTCTATGAATGAAAAAAAAACACGATAAAATGCTTGACTTAAAAATATGTATGTAATTTTAATTAACTTACACTACACATCATGCAATTGATGAAATTGCATGCAGAGCATCGATAAGCTACTGCAAGTTTGCAGATTTTGTCATTGTTTGAACAGTTATCACAGTTATTATCAATGCTAAAGACTAGCGACATGTTTATGCTGATATTATAGTCCTCTTGTGTCTATTTTTAACGAACTTTTAAATTATAAATCTTGGAAGATGTTTAGCAGTATTTTGCTATTCCACTGTCTATCGAATAGCTTCCTGTCCCTTTTCAAAAAATCACCTTCAACAGCACGCATGCTGCAAATAGTTTAATTAGTTTAAAACACTTTTTAAGCCTATAATTAATAGGTTTTTAATAAATAATGGGTAATACAGAAATAAGAGTATCTATAATGATCAAATTAAGGATAAAAAGATGAACAAGGTTAGAGAAATAGATTTTTTTTTAATCTATCGAGTTTAGAGTCTCTGGTTGAAGTTAATTAAATCAAATCAGCGCTATAATATATCCACTCGTAGAGTAAATTCATTGGCATAAACAAAACTCATCTCACAGCTCATGTGATTTGCAGCGTATGTCATTTTGACGCTAATGAAATAGTTCACACATGGTTAGGTGCTGTTCACTTATTTTAACATAATTAAGTGAAAACGTGCAACTCAATTTTCACATGATTAATCATATAAAATAATTACAGATGAATTCTGATCATTCTGGAACCGACACTTATTGATTGATGTAAGTAAATTTTATAAATTATTAATTATAGCAGTTTATGTGATGATATCAACCATACATTATATCTTTTTCTGACATCTCTTATGACAATACTACAATGATTAATTGTTTCACTGACAAAATCACATAATTAAGCAAATAATCACAATTTTGAGCCTTTAATAACGTATTAAACTAATTTACAGACAAATCAGTTGAGGAAAATGCATCAAATTCGATGAATGCTAGATGCCATGAAAAGTAAGTTCCATATAAATTAAAACATTTCGAGTTTAGAGTCTCTGACTTGATTGAAAAAGAGTATCTTGTCAGTGCTATATTTCCACTCGTATATTAGACTTTATTCGCACAAACAAAACTTGAATCTATGGATCAGATTTACAGCGTATGTCATTGGACGTGAATGAGACATTCTATATCCTGTACATAATTTAAACAAGGAAGTCCTCTAACTTTGCATATCTCTTTCTACAGATCACGAAAAATTGATGATGAACAAACAGACTTGAAAATCAGCCAGATTCATCAATAATATTGTGAGTGTCCAGGACATAATATGTCTGTAAACTTTGTTAATTACAGTGATGATATTCCCAATAACAATTCATTTTCTGACATCTCTTATGAATCAATACTGTGATTACTTGTTATTCTGATAATTTCCTTCCATCTCTAAATTTATGACCATCTACATTTGTAGCTAATTTGAACATTTTCTTTGTTTCAGGATGTTTCAATGATTTTTCTTTATGTAAGATGAATGCAAGAAATAGAATAAAATATCGTCAAATTTTTATATATAAATTGAAATTCTCGTGCCTTATTACTTGGTCCTATTTTTTACTTAATTTCAGGTTTTACAGGATATTAACAGATAACTTGGCATTTAAAGTATTTGTCGACTAGCAGTATTTTCAAAAATTCTCTGAAATAACGGTCAAAAAAGATTTGAATTGCGTTTAAAATTGAGACCCCGTACAAGAAGAAGCTACGCTCTTTCTTTTTTGGAATTCGATTGAAGACAACAACATGAGGTAAGAAAAAAATTAATTTACTACAGTTTAAATGGACTATAAAGTACTGCAATTAATAAAATTTTTAACATAACACATTGGCAAAATGTTTGCACGTGAAATATCAAAAGTTCTGACATTTAAAAGTGAAAAAAATTAACTTTAAAATAATTTTGTGCATCAACAAATTAATTTTTGTAGTAAAATAATTATTGTGCAATTCCTTAATTATACTATGAATGTCCAGAATGAGTGACTAGTAATAATGACTATATTCTATCGTCCTGATGAGGATATTTCGCCAAATTGTGAAATTAAAAATATAATTATTGAATAACCTGCAAATGTAAATATTAATGTACTTTTTTATTTTAGTTCCCTTAAGTTGCAGAAGAGGCTTGCAGCCTCGGTGATGAAATGTGGTAAAAAGAAGGTTTGGTTGGATCCAAATGAAACCAACGAAATCGGCAACACAAATTCACGTAAGTTTATATCAATCATGTCAACAAATCTAGTTAAATTTCAAATGGCAAACGCACTTTGACGTTTCACCTGCATTCGTAGTGATTTGCTCAATTTAAGTTTGCCAGATAAAATGCACAGCTTATTCGTTGTTTAAATATTGATCTTGTGATTTAAGTAACTGCAAAGTTTTGCTACATTAACAGCTCACAAAGAAAATGCTGAAACTAATGTACAATCACTTCCAATATAGGTCAAAACATTCGTAAATTGATTAAGGATGGTCTTATCATTAAGAAGCCTGTCGTAGTGCACAGTAGATTCCGTGTCCGTAAAAATACAATTGCTCGTCGTAAGGGACGTCATTGTGGATATGGTAAACGTAAGGGTACAGCAAATGCAAGAATGCCAGTGAAATTCCTCTGGATGACTCGTATGCGTGTACTTCGTCGTCTCCTTAAGAAATATCGTGAAGCAAAGAAGATTGATCGTCATCTTTATCACGATTTGTACATGAAGGCAAAGGGTAATGTTTTCAAAAACAAACGTGTTCTTATGGAACATATCCATAAGAGAAAGGCAGAAAAGGCACGTACCAAGATGTTGAATGACCAAGCTGAAGCCCGCAGAAACAGAGTTCGTGAGGCTAGAAAACGACGTGAACAGAGAATCGCAAATAAGAAACAAGAACTTTTGCAAACATTCGCAAAGGAAGAGGAAGCAGCAGCAGCAGCAACACCAGTCGCTAAGAAGTAAATTATGTCAAATAATTTTATTGAAATTTCCATCATTTAAACAATTTGTGAAAACATAAAAGATTTTCAAATAAAAAACTATATTGAAAATTCATATAAATCTCGTTTAATACCATCCATAACGCAAACTAGTTGCTTCCGAAAAATTATACTTTTCAGATGGTCGCTTCCTGTATCTTTCAGTCAAATAATCGTGTCTAGATCTAGTTACTATCTTGTTGTTATCCTTCATTGAATGAAGACTTGTTAAACTCGTAATTTTCATTATTTGAGAGCGAATAGAAAACTTGAGAATTTGTGTGCCTCATTTTCTTTGTGATTCGTGTATAAACAAAAGAATTTGACAGCATTTGGCTACAATCAAAATAATGAGATAATAAAACAAGTGTACAGTAAACGGAGAAAGGATTAAATTCCTGTTGAGCTATTCTCTCTCACATGTCATCATCATCTTCATGTGATAATGCTGTCAATTATGCGCATGAACATCGCATGAGGATAATTTCGATCAAAGAAAAAGAGAAAATTTTCTTTCATACATTTTCATTCATTCGTGCGACGACAACAGATAAAGTCAATCCATCCCGAAAGTTCCACCGTGAAAGTTGGAATGAAAAGTTCTTTTATACTTAATATAATTCATGTGCTTGGAAAGTGTCAAAAAATAAATATTAATTATAGTCATTTAATGACAAAATAAGATCATTAATTTGTGTATCGAAACAACAAAAAATGTGTAACTGATGTCGAGCATAAATGATTTAATATTGATCCATTAAATACCATATTTATTTAAAAAGGAATCATTTAAATTCTTAAAAGTGCCCTGAAAACTCGCCAAAAAGGTTTCACGATTTCATGCTTCAAAATGATTAATTAATTACGGCTGAGGAAAAAAGTATCAAAGCTTTCGCAACATAAAATAACAAAAGCGAGTCTTCCAAAAATTATAAATTGGATTTCCTTGCTGTCTATGTGAATAGAATTTTTGGATTAATACAGAATCAACAGACAGTGATGGCTCAATGCTCAAAAAATCAATATAGGTGAGTTGTGGAATAAATTTAATTTTGATGAAAAGTTTTTTATGGATTTTCACCACGTTCTGATTACGACATTCCAAATTGACATGTGAAAAGTTTCGCTTTTCTGCTACGGAGCCGTTCACTTATTACGTTACGCAAAAAAACGACTTTTTTCACCCCCCCCCCCCCCCTTGTTACAATATGTTACAACTCACAACCCCCCCCCCCCCCTGTACGTTCATAATTTATTTTATTTTATTTTATACTATGTTACATTTTGTTACAATTTTTCAAACCCCCCTCCCCCCTAAAATGCGAACGTAATAAGTGAACGACCCCATTCCCAACTTTTTCTCCTGTTTGCTTCCAATCTGTTGACGAACTTTTAAAAACATTTGTATCGTTCTGCAACACTCAATCAAAACCATACAATTTCTTCTTCTTCTTAATTAACTTTATTATGGTCCATCAGCTTATTGCTATTTAAAGACCGTTCACAATTCCAGGTAGTTCAATTTACAAATATACACAAAGAAAAATCAAATTTTTGTTATGTCTCGATTGTGATCTGTAATTAATATGTTCTGCTGTATTCCGAGATGCTCGATTCCTGTTTGTCTATGTTGATTTGTTGAAATCCAGTCAGCACCAATTGATTGTTAGAACTTGCCCGCGATATATGGGGAAACACACAAAACCCATCGCGAGACAAATTCTCCTAACAATTGACGATAATCCGTTTCCAACAAAATTCAATGTCTAGGTTATGGTTATGATAGAACCTTCTTGTCCACGATTGTTGGTAAACACACAAAAAACCCACGTGAAACAATTGATTCTCCTCACAACTGCCGCCGATCGTGATTTGTCAATGTAATTAAATGTTCTTTGGTATTCCGATGATGATCAATTTCGTTTTATATTTTTTGTATTGGTTATGTGCAAAAATTTGCACCTTTTTTGTTCAATTCAAAAGTTTCTCCAAATTTAACTAAATCGCGACTTTTTTGAGTTTTCTCTTTTGTTAATGTTATTTGTATGCACTTTAAACTATATTTGCTGTCTGGTTCCTACGCGTAAATAATTAAATTATGGAAAATTGACAATTCCACAACCTCGTTGTTCGGAGGTCGGGAGAAAACTCCCATACAATTTCTAGGAAAAAATTGAAAGGTTTCTTCAACAAAAACAATCCTTTATTGTTAAGTTAGTTCCATTTTGATTAACGACGAACGAACCAAAGAGAAAAGAGAGGAAATGGTAAGAAGAAATGATACTTTTGTTAATAGAATAGACACATAATTAAGTCATTGATATAGATGTATCTATGGCAAATATTTTCATTTCACCCTCAAAATGTGTCAATTTAATTATGTCTGTTTGCTTCCACTGCTCTCATAAACCAAATAACATTTATAATTGTATATAGTCTGTAACGCTTCACACGGATGTGGGTGATTTAAAAATGGAAATTTTTTGTTCAGAAGTGCCAAAAGCATCAGAAAACTTTTTAGCACTTTGTGCCTCAAATTATTACAATGGATGTGAGTTTATCCGAAATATTAAAGGATTTATTGTGCAAACAGGAGATCCAACAAACACTGGAAAAGGTGGAGAATCAATTTGGCATGAAAGGTTCGACGATGAGCTTATAGACAGCCTTAAGCATAATATGAGAGGCATAGTTTCATTTGCAAATTCCGGTCCGAATACGAATCAATCGCAATTCTTTATCACATATGCAGGTCATCCCATGCTTGATTTAAAATACACAGTCTTTGGACGTGTTATTGCTGGATTTGAGACACTTGAGGAGCTTGAAAAGCTTTCAGTTGATCCCAAAACATTTCGTCCTATTCAATCAAAGAAAATTAATTATGTTACAATCCATTCCAATCCATTTGCAATGATTTAATAAATAATGTGACCTAATGTGACCTTTAATGACTAAATAAAAGAATCTTTAGAACAGATTGAGAACAAAATAAGGCGATTATATACTTTAATGTGATATTGATGATACATTTAATGCTGATTTATGAGTGGTACCTTTTATAAGCATTTCGTTTACAAGTTAAGTAGAACTGCAGCTTTTCGTGTTGCCTATAAACTCTCTCAATGTTCCTTTATATCGATTTTTCCATTTTATTCACATATAATTTCTAATTCTAAGACACTTGATGCAAATTAAAGATGTGGGTTTTGTGGGAGTCGACAGCAAGACTAAAATACATAAACTTTCTCGCACATAATTCATTAGGGAGTGAAGATGTTTGTACAATTTATTAAAAACTAAGACGGTCGGGGAAGCTTAGAAAAGCTCTTTATGCATGTGTAATTAATAATTGAAAGCTTCATGTATTTTTCATCAAATTGAAGATCTCGGTACTTAAAGTTCATGCCTCGATGAAATTTTTTCTCTTCTTTTTATTATAAATCGAAATATAATCTGACATTACATTTATCGATAGATAATCAGGAGGATGGAAATAAATTAGGAAACAGACTTGAAAAGACAATGAATTATTAATGTCAGATTGAAGTAATACATCATTCCTTAGTACTTTTACAAGCATGATAAATTAGCAGTCAATTTTTATCTCCATTTTCATGTCGGCTGCTATCTTTCTTGAAAATCTATGGCAAACAAATGGAACATAATTACAATTCAAAAGTTCGTCCAAGCATTCATACTCCCTACTTTATTTAACGTTTATTTAAAAGTTTGAAATCCAAATCTGGAAGACTTTCAATAAATTCTTGGAAAAACTGGAAACTTCAAAAAATAAAAATTTGTAACGGTTTTTGAAAATGGGTCCCGGCTGTTTTAATCCACCAAACATTACAGTTAATTTCATGGTAAAATTATTCTACATTGTTTTCTTTTTGCATTAGTTCCATGTTATTAGTAGTTTTGCATTGTTATTATATGCTTCACCCTTTTTCTTCAATGTTATTTCCGATTCACTTGTTAATCGATTTTAGGAATGTAGAACTTTCCTTGAAGCTCTGTTGAACATTTCCTGAAAAAACTAACCGTTATCTCTCAAGTATTGTTCCAAATTTTTTTAATGATTTATTACACAACTTAATTTTGATATAAAAAAAAATCAATCCACAACCGTCAATTTCAATTAACTTATTAATCCGACACTTTCCTATTTTTAATCAATTTTAAAATGTGATTCCCATAGTGGTGGTATAAAATGGATAACAAGTCTTTTGATCTCCAGGAACGCAGCTTTAAATATAAAACAATTAGCATTTTGAAATTAAATCAATAACATCACGAAATCATTACCTTCCGTGTCCTACATCAAATATGTATCCATCATCACACAATCGCGTATCTACAACTCTTTGGTCATAGCAGATTATAAAACCTGCACAAGTACATGGGTTTTCAATAACTCTAACTTGTGGACTTCCTTGACAAACATCATCTGGAACTTCACATATTCTGACACATTCGTTAATATCCTCATCATATTCTTCTCTATCAAGACATTGATAAACAAGTCCCGAGCCACGCATACAACCAACGTACAAATGAATTGAGTCTGGATATGGCCTTGCAGCAAAGAAGACTCCTTTGCATATTTCATTTAAATCTACTTCTGGTGTGGATGGAGTGGTTGTCAAATTTACATAACTAGACGTGGTGGATTCGACATAAACCGATGTTGACGTGCTTTCCGTTGAGTATATTGTACAAGTGTCTTGATTTCCAGGAACGCATCCATGAGTAGTATTGCTGAAAATTGTATTTTCACCGCAAGTTCTCTCGGAGGGAATTTGCATCAAACAGTAATAGTATTTGTAGCAGAAATCTGGATGTGGAATATTTCCAGTGTAAACTCCTTCACATGGATTGTCTTGTGCATCCACGGAATAAATAAAAGCTAGTAGAAAAGCAATGTAAACGTGTTTCACTAGTGACAGATGTAAATGGAATTTTTAAAATTATTCAGAATTGGATTAATAATTAATTTAAAGGAATTACTTTTAAATTGTGTTGATTCTCCAAAAAGTAGCTTAAAACTGAAAGAAACCCAAATTTTTAAAAATAGTCAAATCACATTTGATAAAAATGTTTATTTATCTAATCTAATCGTGCACTTAACAGCTTAAGTGCTCTTAAATTCAATGCATTAATACAAAAGATAAACAGTGCTACCTTAATATGCCATCAAAAAATTTAATTGATGACTAAAGCTCTTGAAGTAAGATTTAGGAAATAATTACGGTATTTTTAAGATAAGACATATTTGGAGCTATTTTGAAATCTCAATCACTAATACTTTTTTATTTCATGTCTTTATATATGTCACAAAGCATTTATATCACATTTAAAAACTTTGGAATGATTTAAAGATTTACACAAGTCGATAGACTAATATCAAACACTTGATTCTGTTCGCAAATCATTGAATAAGCAACACCAGATTTACAGCGATAATATCTTGATTTGTCAGTTTCGTGAGGTAGAAAATCTTTTGAAAAGAAAAAGAAAAAAGTCTTCTATAGATTGAAATATTTATGATGTTTATGCTCTTACCTTCTGTACAAGGAGCTTTTTCCTCAAATTTAAATTCACATGTCTCACGATTGCCTTCTATACATCTATGTAGGAGGAGAAAATAAGTTGAAAAGTTGATCCATTAATTTTAATTTATTATGAGGCATTAAAATAGAAAATTTTTGCAAAAAGGCCTTTCGAGAATGTCTTGAAAAATGAGTAGGAAGAAAGGTGCTCATTAATCATCATTGGATGAGAGGAATTAAAAATAAATCCTCGGATTTAAAAATGTTTTCCATTCAGTAAAATAAAGTTCATTTCATTTCATTTCAATTTAATTTGAATTTCAAATGACAGTTGCCACATCCTAATTAGAATAAACCTTAGATAACAGCATGACTTATGCTTCAATTCCTTCAGCAACAATTTACAATTTTCGATGTTTTCTTTTGTCTCCCGTTTTAAAGCATTTAGCATAAATTTCTCCTTTATCTTTCAAACTAGCATAATGCTTTAATTGGTTCATTTTATGCTCACTGAATGGAATTTATTTGATTTATCTCAATTTAATTTTTGTAATGGAAAGAAGAGCTGTGTGCTAATTTGAATTTTAACGAAAACTTGTTAAATTAAATAAAATGCTCGAAACAAAAATATAAATAAATGAGCATATTTATCTAGACTTTATATCCACTCGAGCGAAAATTTTGATGGATGTAGTTTGGGTGGAAATGCAAATAAAGCAGAAAGAAATGCTCGTTTGACATTAAAAAGCTACGAGAAGATACAAAGACAGCGAAAATGATAAATTATTTGTTAAAGCCACCTCTGCGGGAAGATTCATGTTTTACAATTTAAATAATGGGGAGAAAATCCTTACCTTTCAGTGCTGATATCAAATACATTACTCAGAGGACATTCCTTTAAAATTGCATATCCATGGTAGCAAAATATTGCCTTATCACATTCATGTGGATGTTTAATGTAATTAAAATGATGACCTTTACATAAACCCTTCCAGTTATCCCCAGTTTGCGTTGGTTGCATGATTATATCCGCATCATAAAGCTCACACGTGTCTCGATTTCCAGGCCGACATCTTTCATAGATAACAATTTTAATTTCTTTCTCTATATCCAATTATTATATACTTACAACAATGTATTTAAGTCGAAGATAGTTTCAGTTTCACATTCGCGAAGGAATGCTCGATTATTATGGCAGAAAATTGCAATACCACAGTTGGTAGGATGACTAATAAATTGGTCTACAAGACCTTCACATAGCTTATTGAAATCTGGTGCAGTAGTTGTAGTCTCAAGGAATTCACAAGTTTCTGGATTTCCTTCACGGCAGCTGTTAAAATTCAAGCCATTAATATTTTATTTCTACACTTAAAATTCAGTTTTAAAGCCGACTCACTTATTAATATCTATGTCAAAAATTGTATTTTCTTGACATGATGACTCAATAGCTATACCGTTAAGACAGAAAATAGCACTTTGACAATTAAATGGATGTTCAAGAAAAACTCGATCTAATCCATCACACAATCGATTAAGATCCGGAGGTTTAGTTGTTGTCTCATAAAATTCACACGTTTCACGATTTCCTGCATGACACTGGCTTGTATTAATATCAAATATTGTATTCACAGGACAATCTCTGAGGAACGCAACTTCATTGTGACAATAAATAGCAATACCACAATCTGTAGGGTGATTTATAAACTCATTGATCAGTCCTCTACACAGATAATTGTAATCGGGTGTTGTGGTGGGAATTTCTGATGTCGTTGTGGTTGGAATTTCCGTTGTTGTCTCGACAATTTTATCGATACACTTCCGAACGTTTGGGTCGAATATCTGATCTCCATTACATTGTAAAATTACTCCTTCTCCTTTTATGCAGCCAATAAAATATTTTTCATTCGCCAACAACGGAAGTGCTTCAAAAAATAATCCGTTGCAAAGCTGTCTTGCATTGAGTGATGGAAATTGAGGGATGACGGGTGTCTCGATTGACATTCCCAAATTTTCCGAGGCACATAAAACAGGCTGAGCGATGCTAATTGAAATTAGCAGAATACAAAGAAGCTGCAAATATCCAGCTGTAATTAAGAAAATTGTAATTAATTTATTAGCTCGTTGCTATAAATTAAAAACTTTTTTTCTGACCTTTCATTTTTTATTAATACCGTTGAGGATTTTTATATGTAATGTTTCTTTTTTGATGTCTAGAACTAAACTGATGCATTTTTGCAAGAAGAAAATTGATTCCTTATCAATAAATCTGATTGCTGATAAGGAACCAAATAAATGGATTATTTTCTTTTTATTGATAACATCTGATAGAAGCATACAGACAAAGTCTTTTTTGGATTTTGTGGATCAATGCTTTCGATGAATTCTTGCTTTGACAGACTGACTATACTGAATGTAAATGGAATTCACAAAAATTTCAGTATTTTGATGGTTTTAACATTCTATGCTGTTATTAGTGATAATGCTATGTGATTTAAGGTACAGAATCTCGTTTTCAGCACTTATCTCGTTATTAATTCGTTTAGACGTGTAGACAATTTATAGAACTGTTCATTAAATTCAATAAATTTGAATCAAATTTTTACTCCCAACATGTGCGCTGCAAGTTTCACTCACCTGATGATTTCAAATCATTTATTTTGTTTTCGTGCTATGTATGTAGGATTAAGATTTTTCGAATGACTATGGCGAAATGATATTTATAAAAACAGAATGACTAAGATATCTTAATTGAAAAAAATGAACATGATTCAGAGCTAATTATTTTAATTATGGATAAGACTAATCCTGTTTTGGTAAATTCCCAGAAAAAGTGCATTAGGTATATAAATCGATGCTCTTGTCAACACGTGAAACATGATTTATGTTTTTCTTTTGATGAATAAAAGGAAATTCATCTCCTTTATATCAACGTAAATTGATAGTATAAAGAAATTTTACGTTGTTAGTGACGTAGCTTTATTTTTGTTTGCCAAGCTTATTCTTTCTTTATTTGATAACTGCAGCCATAAAAAATGAAGAAAAAAAAAGTGCGGCATTAAATTGTAAAAAAAAATGATTTATTGCCGTTCTTAATTGAGATTAAAGCCGAGATTTGTGCTCAAAAATTAAATAATTTCTCGCCGAGCTTTGAACTAGACCAAATGAGCTGTCGTGTAAAATTACAGCAAAAATTAAATTAATGAGACATGTGTCATCACAAAATCATGACAGTTAAGGCAGAAGAGAAACTTTTTCAACAATTTATGCTAACAAAATGTCTATCAAAGTAATTTATTATATCCATCATTCATTCTTTTTTCCAAACAGAACAAGCCTGCCAGCACCAATGTTTGAGAAGCAAGACATAAACATGATGTCGATCCTTAAAGGATGCATTGGGAAGGACTTAAGCAAAATAACAATGCCTGTTCATTTCAATGAACCTCTTAGCTTCCTACAACGAATGGTTGAGTACATGGAGTATTCACAGTTAATGCGAATAGCAGCAGAGCAAACAGATCCGATAAATCGCTTGAAATATATTGCTGCGTTTGCTGTATCAGCTTTAGCATGCAATTGGGATAGAATGGGAAAGCCATTTAATCCATTATTGGGTGAAACGTACGAGATAGAACGTCCTGAGTTCCGTTGCCTGTGTGAACAAGTTAGTCATCATCCACCTGTTTCAGCTTTTCATGCTGAATCACCAAGCTTTCAATTTTACGGATCTATTTATCCAAAAATTAAATTCTGGGGGAAATCTATTGAGATCCAGCCGAAAGGAACGCTGACAGTAAAATTACCAAAATGGGACGAGACTTATTCATGGAATAATCCAAATTGTACAATACATAATGTGATTGTCGGTAAATTATGGATGGAGCAGTACGGAACAATTGAGATTGTCAATCATCAAAGTGGATTAAAAGCAATTTTGCAATTTAAAGCAACTGGCTCTATACACAAGGATTTACATCGAGTTGAAGGAACAATATTAGATGGAAAGTACGTAGCCCGATGATAATGGCATTTTGACGTGATAAAGAATTTAATTGATTTTTTCTTTTTTTTTCCTTCTCTCTTTTCAATTTCTAATTCACAGCAAAAAAAAGCTTTTCCTTTATGGACGATGGACGGACGTACTTAAATGCACAGATTATGATTCATACGAAGCTTATTTGAAGGATAATCCTAATAGATTCAAGCGTTCTGACGGAAGTAAAAGCCCTAATTCTGAATCACCAGCTCATACACCAAGAAAAGTATTTTCTAAGCTTAATAGCTTGAAAATGTCCTCATTCAGAAGTCTCTCTATACAAGATAATGACGTCCATGATCAACCACACGATAAATCACCGGAACCAGAAACGGTAGAAATGAACATTCCAAAATCACAATCTACTTACTCAATTGAAATACCAAATTCTGAAACTTTATGGACTGTTGATCCTCGACCGGAAAGTAGTGCAAATTATTTCTCATTCACAAATTTCGCAATGTCGCTCAACGAACTTGAATCACACATGACAAATTTACAGTCAACAGACTCTCGACTACGACCTGATATTAGAAAGTTGGAGCATGGGGATGTTGAAGGAGCAATCATTGAAAAGAATCGTTTGGAAGAGAAACAGCGTGATACTAAAAAAGCTCGAAAGTCCAAAAATGGTGGAAACGATGATTGGAAACCAAGGTATGTGAAATTTATTTGTAATGCCTTCACGCTTGTCACATGACCTGTTTTTTTTTTATCGAAGTGTTTTTTGCAAGATAAACGTGCTAATGAGTTCGATTTGGTTGACTGACTTACAGTCTTTGAGAATTGAAAAAAATATTTTGTAAGCTGGCTGTTATCCAGCATGCAGGCATAGACTGTTTGGAGACAAATGAATTACTTTAAATTTTTGATGAACTCAATTGAAATCATTCGGAAGTACAAAGTTCATTTCAGTTCAGATCAAAATTATTTGAATTATTAAAAACGGTTAAATTTTGGTTTTATTATTTAACAGCTCTTCAGGCACATTTTTCTTGTCAGACACGTTTTCATCCGTGACATAGACATTTTTCCAACAATTTACCTTCATGTTTAACCCTTATCAAATTTCAGATGGTTTAAGATTCAGCACAATTCAATTATGAAGCAAGACGATTGGGTTTATGCTGGTGGCTATTGGGAAAGTCACTGAAATACGGACATTGATTTGTTTTAAAAGCTTTTTTTTTTTGTTGGACATTAATATTATCAGCATAGCACAACTAAAAACGAAATCATATCCATTATATTATAATAGAATTAAAATACATAAACACAAATCAGTATGAAAGTTGAGAAGTTTTCAAATAGCAATATTGTTATTCACACAATTAAGTAGGACGCAAGGGAATAATCACCACATTAAATCAAGTTATTATGGACGTAAAATTATTTTTTTGTTAATTAAGCTGAGTGGAAAAAGTTTAAAAAGTGTTAAATTAGAGGATATAGCGTATCATAGCGAATTAAAGGAGAATATGACCATAGAGGAATCGATGTAATTTTTAAAAATTTAAAATTTAAACAGGATGTTTGAATGTGTTTAACAATTTAAATTTAAAACACTTTTAATTATTTTAAAATTATTTTGAAGCATAAAATTCAAAATTTATCTGACAGTTATATTTTTGTGATATTAAGGCATTCAAAATGCTACGAATTAAAGCTTTGATTTAACTACCCTCTTGCTATAAATTTTCAAAATTCTTAAAAAGAATTGATGCTGGCCAAAACTGCTTGTTTGTCAACACATTTAGACATCCTGAATTTAGAATGATTAGAAAAAGGCGAAATTGACCTTAATGTATCAATTTAATAAAGCATTCATTTTTTAGAATTATTGAAAAGGAGGAAGCAAATTATTTAAACATGACAATACATTTAGTTTTGGATTAAATCGAGAAAAAAAGAATTTTAAATTATATGAAAAGAATTAGGGACAAAAAATGAATTTTGACTACAGTTTTTAATGATTTAGCGATAAAGGAAATTATACAGAGAAGACATACAAAAAAAAAATCATCATGAAAAATCGATCAATTTTACTTAAATGTAAGCCTTTTATTTTGCTTTTAATAAAAATGTATTCAATAACGACATAATTTTTTTTTCTTTTTATAACGGTTGAAATACTTTTGAATTTCAATGTTTGACGGGTCTAGTGAGGTTCTGCTGCGATTCAAATATTTTTAACGATTTAAAGAGGTTGAAAAAAAGCTTTTATTTTCAATTCAAAGCTCTTTCGCAAATTTTATTCTCATCAGTTTAATTAATAGTTTAACAGTGCTAGCTTAATTTGTAATAATGGGAAAGGAGAAAAAAAAGTTAAAAGCTTCTAATGGCAATGAATTATGTACAAAGTTATCAGCATTAAGCATGACAAATCGTAAGTTTTATATTTTCTGTGTAATTTGCGTTGTCATTAAAATAAAAAAAAAAATCTTACAGAAACAGAACCGGCAATATCAACAGCTGAGTTTTATTATGGACTTGAATTAAGTGCAGTAGAAAACTTGGCAGTAATCAATAGGTCACCAGAATCAGGTTTGTTTCGAAACGAATAAAAATTTGTGAAAAATTTCACTGGATTATGAAATTAAATTTCAGCTTCTCCAGATAAAAAAAAGAAAGAAAGAAAGAGGAAGGAAAAGAATAGGAAAGTAGATAAGCTTGAGACAGTCGAAGGGAAAATTAAAAACTTGACAATCACTATTAAAAATGATCAATGTCAAAAAGCTAAATCGTCAACAAAAAATCAGGCACAAACTAAGAGCAGTGAAGACACCAAAGCATCTAAAGATCTCATTGACTGCCTCAAAATGCTACAAACAGGAAAAATGACATCCGAATCTGTAATGAAACTACACAATGTTCCAGAACTTAAAGTTCCGAAAATCAAAAAGCGAGATGCCAGAAATCGCGATGAAATTCTGGCATTAAATAAGAAAATTCAGGAGAAAATTGTTAAGCAGATTAAGCCAAAGCTTAAGTCGATTATTAATGATAAGCCATTAAATGGATTAGTTGAGAAGAAACATACAATTTCAGAGTCATCAACCAATAACAATCAAGGATATCCACCGAAAATTAAAATAACGTCTAACAAGAATTACAAACTGTCAATTCCAAAAACTATCATTAAGACATCTAGCAATAATGCTGAAATCTATAGATATACATTTGAGCAGCTTTATCGATTACAGCAATTTAGTACATGGGAAATGGTACCGAAACTGCAAAAATTAAAGATCTGTAAAACTCAATTAAATGAGCTAGATACATTTTTGATGACTTTATTGGAACTGCCGGAAAATGAACGAAATCAAGCAATTCTAAAGAAGGCTGAAGAAAGGATGTTTATTAAACGTAAAGGTTTTAATGACTATGCTTATTTGTCACCACAATTTTTGGTAACTGACGAACAGCCAAGAAAACAAGATGTCATATTTCCAACATTTAAGGATAATAAAAGACAAAAAGACATTGATTATGTTGATAAATTCAGGCTCATAGCTAATAATGACGAGGAACTGAATAAATTAATTTATCAGCATGAGTTTATTTGTCTCTTTGAGAACGAGTTAAAAGATCAAGATTTAAAAAATCTAGCTCATCAGGATATCGTACAACTTCTCATAGACAATAATCAGGCATACATACTTGAGGGAGATATTCGTGTTAATCAAAGGAACAATCAGGAAGCCTATGTGACACATAAGCGTGGCATGAAGGATGTTTGTATTAATAAATTAATTTTACGTAAACATGCATTTCAAGGAGATTACGTCCGCGTTCTTGTCAAGAAAGATAGTTCCAATGAATTGGAGAATGATCCATGTAATAATTTGTTGGACGAAAGTACAGCAACAGTATTAGATGAAGATCTCGTGGAAACATCTCCAGATATAAGTGAAAATAGAAATTTTGGATGTGTTTTAGAAATTTTAGAGCCAAGACATTCTCGTCGAGTTATTGGTTCGTTTGCTGCATTCCTTAATGTAAAGAAAAATCGCAGGTACTTGATGGTCAATGTGCGTGATCCAAAAGTACCTAATGTTAGAGTAAATGTACGATCTGGAATTCCAACAGACACTGAATTGAATGAGAAGCTTTTATTGGTTGTAGAAATTACTGATTGGAGTCATGATCAACCTCAAGGACGAGTTGTTTCCATTTTAGGGAATAAAGGCCAATTAAAGACCGAAAATGTTGCAATTTTACAGCAAAATAACTTAAGTCCAGTGCCTTTCGAGCAAAACATTATCGATGAATTGCCTAAAGAGCCATTTGAAATCCCCGCAAAAGAATTTGAGTATCGTGAGGATTTAAGAAAGAAATGTATATTTTCAATAGATCCTGAAAGCGCTCGTGACTTAGATGATGCATTGTCCTGTGAAATTCTACAAAATGGAAATCTCGAAGTTGGTGTTCATATTTCTGATGTCTCTTATTTTGTTAAAGAAAACTCGGATTTAGACAATATTGTGAAAGAAAAAGCAACGACAATCTACTTGGTTGACACTGTTTATCATATGTTGCCTGAACAGTTGTGCTTTTTATGTTCATTATTACCTGGAAGTGATAAATTGGTAAGTAACGGACTGTCTCAAATTTTAACAGTTTTTTTCAAATTTGAAATTACTTATAACGAAACTTTTTTGAATTTTAACGAAAATCAATTAATTTTGAATCTCAAAAACCCGTTGAGGAGAAAGAAATTAATGAAACTTTAAAATTGTTTAGGCTTACAGTGTATTCTTCGAAATGGACCTAGACACAGCAGAAATATTCAATACACGCTACACACGTTCAATTGTGAATTCATGTGGAAAATTAAGTTATGATCATGCACAAGCAGTGATTGAAAAGAAAGACAAAAATTGGGATGATTTAAAAGCTGATTTTCCAGAAATTCACAATGGATTTACAGTTGCTGAAATTGCACAAAAAATAGTAAAGCTACAGAAATTGTCTCTAATAATGCAAAGTAATCGTAAAAAAAGTGGTGCACTCAAAATTGATCAGCCAAAATTATATTATATATTCGCAAAAGATGATCATCAGAGAATGGAAACTCCTGTAGACTTCGCAAAATACTGTCAAAGAGATTCTAATCGATTAATTGAAGAATTTATGTTACTGGCAAATATTTATGTCGCAAAATTCATCTATGAGAAATTCCCGGATATTTCACTATTAAGACAACATGACATTCCAAATGAAAATGGTTTGAGAAAGCTGACAAATGTGCTAAACAAACATAACATTCAAATTGATACAAGCTCATCTGCTGCTATTTCATTGTCTATGGAAAACTTGATTGCATTTGCTAAACATCCGAACGCCATGAATGCAGCGATAAATCATATGGTCTCAAAAACCATGACAAGAGCAAAATATTTTTGCAGTTTTATGGCTGAAAGTCCTGATGCTTTTTGGCATTATGCATTATCAACGCCAATTTATACACACTTTACAAGTCCGATTCGTAGATATGCTGATATATTGGTCCATCGAGTTTTAAATGCCGCACTAAATTATGAAGCTGTACCGTCAAGAACACCTGATGAAATTCAGGAATTGGCTAATATATGCAACGTTCAAAAATACAATGCTAAATTAGCTGGTGACGATAGCTCAAATCTTTATTTCATGCATTTTATGAAGTCATTGAAGTCAAAAGCCATGATAGCTGGTGTCGTTGGAATTTATGAATTTAATCTTGAAATCGTACTAATTGATACAGGACATTTAATTAAGGTTTATTATAAGGTAATTTTTTTATTTATAAATAACGACTGATTTAAATTCAAATTCAAAAGCCGTACAAATGTTATTTAAATGCTCAAGAACAGTACAATTCCATAAAAGTTTGAAAACCATTCAAATGCAAAAGAAACGAAACGTAATTAACAAGCTATCAAATTGCAAATCGATTTTTACAAACTTGTTAATTTGAAATGTGATAAACCACCAAAATATTGATGAGCATTGTGTGACAAAAAAAAAAATAATATTATTTGCTTAACATTTGATGATTTAACGAAAAAAAAGTTTAGAGTTAATTTTGCGGAAAAAAATGCATTTGGATCAGCCTTCGCGTATTTGGTGATATTTATTTGCTAATTAATGATATAACAATTTCTCTCCTTCTTTCCATAAACAAATAGAATCTTCAACAAAATGATGATGTCATAATTAAGACATTCACAGACAGTTCACCGCCATACGTGAGCTTTCATCTTCCAAAATTGCAAATTTCAATGAAAATCGTGTTTGGAATGGAAATTTTGGCACAGGTTGAAGTATTGAATGATAAGCTAATTGTGAACAAGATTTTTTACAATAAAGACACAAAATGAGGTCTCGTGGATAGATTGATGATCCGAGGAATTCCTTTAGTCATGCATGAATGTGATAAAAATGATGAAATTGTACATAATGTATAAAAGAGGAGCCACTTAATCATTTGTCATGATAATCATCATTGAATTTTGTTTTATACGAGAAAAAAAATTATAACATTTGAAAATAAAAACAGCCATTGTCAAGTTCATGAAACATGAATTATTTTTTTTAAAATTCACAAGCAGCTACAAGATTTGTATCTAAAAAATAATAAATGATTTAAAGTCTTTTGATATTATCATGTATATATATTAAAAACAAACATCTCATCGAAAAGTCATCAATGGCATTTGAAGCATTTGTGATTTTTTTTTGTGTCTATGCGATATTCAATATGCAAATCGGATGACTTCTGTTGGGTGTTATTTTCACATTATATTTATGGTAAATTAAGTTGGGCTAATTGAATGTGTTAATACAGTTTTATGATTGTACGTGGGCAATAATAGCTTGTTGTCTGATCTTTAATGGACCGTTATAAATTTCGGACCCAATAAAAGTACCATAGACACACTTTTTAAAAATGAAGCAATAAATCACCGTAAATCCCATAAAATTGTAATTTTTTTCAATCAAATGCAATCGCACTTACATAAGTCTAGACGACCGAGATATTTATTTATTTGTTTATTTTTAAGCACAAAATCTTAAGATTAAATGATTCATTGATGGCTCGCGAATTTTGTTGAGTAACATTAAATGCAAAAATCAAAATCAACAAAAGAAAAGGCTTATCGTGAAGAGATTAATCACGTTTGTTTGAGGTGCAGTCAAGGCGCATCAGATTTTTAACGGAAATTTCGAATTCGAATTTAACAAAACCATAGAAATGTGACCAGTTTTTCTGAAAACTATACAACAGCAATTTGTAATTTTAGAAAACCATTCAAATTAATTTCTAGACCAAATCTGTCAATCTGCACCAAATAGAACTCTTACTGCCTGAAATTCCAATCCATTGTTGACCAATATACTTTTTCACATTATTAATGAAAATATATTCAAAAATAAGACCGAGAAAAAAATAATAAACTTGTGAATCGTTAAGCTAAAGGTTGCACCTATAGTATTTTTTTTTTTTTCTAACGATAAACATCTGAATTAGTGACAGTTTAATGACCTTCAATATATCAAAAAATGCAAAAATGTTGTCAGAGAAGAGAAAAAAATAGGTTCATTAACATTAACAAAAAATTTGTATTTTATTGATATTTGATAAAACTAAAAATAGCGAGAAAAAACATGTTTACAAAAGATGTAGAGGAAGATGAATGAATTATCTAGAATGAAAGAGCTTATTTGGATAGATTTTCTGGTGGGTTATTTCTAATGAAATCTAAAGCTCTTTGAATATAATCTGGAATTGGTGGGGGTGTTGGGAGATGATCCCCTCTTGGTCTATATCCATTCTCATCTGCTTCATATTCAAGTGCTATTTGCTGTCCATCATTGGAAGTATAACTAAAGCTTCCTTTTGCGAATTCAGCTCCTTTTCCACTTTCTAGAATTTTATAAATAATTAAAAATAAGCATAAGACAATAGATAGGATAACAAACCTTCTGCATTGATTCCATTGCTAGTTTTATACACATAACTGTAGCTTCCATCAGGATTAACATTACTTAATTGTTCTAACGTATATGCATCTCTATCACTAAGCACAACTTGCATCACGCTCACAAAAAATGCGATAAGAATCTACAATAACATGATTTATTAATTACCATAATCGATTCCGTTGATCATAAATTTTCGTTACCATAAACTTCATGTTTGACAAATATTTAACACTTTAAAAACTGACACTAGATATATATATATATATATTTGAAAGATGAAAATGGACTGTAAGTTATCAACGCTGAACACCATCTTTTATAGTGCGATTGACTTTAGTGTAATTGCTCAATCTTTTTTCTTCTTCTGATACTAGTTTTCGGTCATCAATACTATGACATAACGGACTATCAGTATGAGCTTTAAAGAAATGCTTTTGCATTTTTTCCATTCCATTTCTTCTCCTCACGTTCCTTCAACGTTTTTTTTTTTTATTTGTATTGTTCAATTAGTTTTTTTAAGGAGGCATCCTCTTTAAATACTTCAAGTATCTCTTACGATTATAGGTATTTGCTAATGTTAAGAGGTGTGAATATTGATTAAAAATTATAAATTGATAAGTCGAGATGGTGAGTCTTTATCATTGATTGTTTTATAAGCACAGATTGGTCTAATATAATATTACTGACAATTTTTAACGGGTTTTTGAATTTTAAAATTTATTGATTTTCTAGAATTCAAATGAATTGAACTGAAATGAAATTTTGTATTTCTGAACGTAATTTCAAATATTCAAAAAACGTTAAAATCATCATTTATTTGGTCAGCTATTGGTCATTTAAAATCATTCACAAAATGCCTGTAACAAAGCATGTCATTCAAAAAGGTGAGATAAAGTCATCACAAGATGTTAACAGACACTTTTAATGCCTAATGCCTTTCGCCTATGATAAGCTTTGACCGTAAAAAAATTCACAAATTTAAATCTTGACCGAAACTGATGTTGCCAATTCGCATGAACATAAATTAAACTTTTATTGACTTAAACATAGTTTTTTTTTATTGAAATAATAATCTTTTCTTCTTATTCATCCTAAATCACAATGAGACAGCAAATAAAACAATACAGCAAGTCAGATATCATAGTCTCCTTCATCTTCATTGTCTGCTGCAATGTTCACAGATAATCCCTTTTTCTTTCGTATTATATCATTCCACAAGAATTTATATTCGCACAATGGGCAGTCACCTCGAATTGGAACATAATGATTTTTTTCTAAGCACATCTTTGCAAGGCACTTCATGTGAGCTACTAATTTACATTTTGGATTAATACAAAGAACTCGGTCCGTCTCAAGATTTTGAATGTCATTAAGACACAAATGACATTCCTTTCGTTTTCTGATTAAATCCATTAATTCCTTGCTTTGTTCCGCAGCAGCGATTGTCTTTTTTCGTGCTTTAATTGCTCCAAAACAGATAATCATGTGATTGGGAAATCTTGATTGTGGAAAGTCGGTGCAAAAATCCTGTTCTAGCCATCGAACTTTTAAAGGAAGTCTATTCCAAGGTGGAAGATTAATCATTTCAGTCAGGATGCGAAAATGATATTTAAACCAACTTTCACTAGGCTTCTTTCTTTGAATACTGTCTATGACTTTAAGTCTTCTTGAATTCTTTGGTTCCTGCCATGCCCATTCAAACCTTAGTGCTGAAATGTTATCAGGAAAATCATGTACAATTAAAACCATCGTCCAAGGTCCTGGAACTCTCGTAGTATGTTTAGCTCCTCCAAACTTATTTCCTTTGTTATGCTGATTAATTCGTCTTGTTGGATTCACCGTGAACCCTAAGAAATGTGTATATAATAATGACAAGCATTAGAAAGTAAATTTATTCATATTACGAAGAATTGACATCTGAAACGCATTCAATATTTAATGCAGTCATAGAAAATAGCAAACGGCGTGCCTTTTGTCGTGTGGATCATGTTGCAATATTGCCAAAAAAATTCATTTTAAGCTCTTTTTATTTTTATTTTTAAAATATCAATAAATTGAAAAAAATCAAATTTTCTACTCACCGACATAACATCTCCCGTTGTATTTTGGATCGTCGTTATTGTTAACTAGCAAGTAGACACCATAAAAGTTCTCCACCTCTTGTACTTGATCCATAATTCTTTAATTCTTTCTGAATTTTTTCACGATTTTTTCCTTAATTTTTTGAATTTTAACGGCTTTTTTGAGAGTTTTGTTTATATGTCAACAGTTTTGTTCAGAAAAGTTTATTTATTTAAGTTTACAAGGTTTGTGACTTGTTTTAATATATTATGTGCATTTATTCAGTTTTATAACATCCTTTAGCACCATAATGAAGCGATTCCTGACAAGCGATGAACCTTCAACGTCCAAAAAAGCAAAAACTGAAGATTTTTTAGAAGAAATCCAGAATAATCGATTAAAAACAGCAGAAAGTATTGTAGAGTTTAAATTTAATAAGAAGCGTATAAAGATCCTTAACAAGTATGATGAAGTTCCTGAGAGCAATAGTGAAGGAGGAATTTGTTACTGGATGGCTCGAGATCAACGGTAAGGAATTTCATAATAATATATTGTTTGCTGGATCTTAAATATTTCATTAATTAACAGAGTTCAGGATAATTGGGCTATGCTGTTCACACAGAAGCTTGCTTTGAAGAATAAGTTACCAATGCATGTTGTATTCTGCTTAACAGACAAGTTTATGGATGCTACATTGAGGCATTACAAATTTATGCTGGATGGATTAGAGGAAGTTTCACTGGATCTAAAGAAATTAAGTATTAATTTCCATCTATTAATTGGAGAACATAAGAAGGAAATACCAAAATTTGTTAAAGACTTCAAAATTGGTGCTCTTGTTTGTGATTTTTCGCCCTTAAGGATCCATCGTGAATGGGTCGAAAAGATTAAGAAGGAATTGCCATCAAAAGTGCCATTTATTCAAGTTGATGCTCATAATATTGTTCCAATATGGATTGCTTCTGATAAACAGGAATATGCAGCACGGACAATTCGTAATAAAATTAATAGCAAGCTCGGAGATTATTTGACTGAATTTCCACCAGTAATTAAACATCCCTATAAGCCAGAAGATTCATTGCGTCCAGAGCCAATTGATTGGGAAGAGCTTTTAGAATCATTAAAAATTGATAGATCTGTGGAACCTGTTGACTGGATTAAGCCTGGATACAAAAATAGTATAGAAATGCTTGAATCATTCATAATGAAAAGATTAAAACACTTTGGAGACAAGAGAAATGACCCGACCTTAAGTGTTTTGTCAAATTTGTCTCCTTACTTCCATTATGGTCAAATAGCTGTGCAACGCTCCATCATTGAAGTAAAGAAATACAAGAGTTCAGCTTCTGCCAGTGTTGATGCGTTTTGTGAGGAGGCTATTGTGCGTAGAGAACTTAGTGATAACTTTTGCTTCTACAATCCCAATTACGATAATCTCAAAGGAATCACAGATTGGGCCATGAAGACTTTAAATGATCATCGTAAAGACAAACGAGATTATGTTTATACACGTAAAGAGTTTGAAGAAGCTAAAACTCATGATGATTTATGGAATAGTGCACAAATTCAAATGACAAAGGAAGGCAAAATGCACGGATTTTTGCGAATGTATTGGGCAAAAAAGATTTTAGAATGGACGGCATCGCCAGAAGAAGGTCTTGAAACAGCAATTTATTTAAATGATCGTTTTAATCTTGATGGCAGAGATCCAAACGGGTTTGTTGGCTGCATGTGGAGCATTGGTGAGTTTTTAACGGTTTTTTGAAATTTAAAATTCATTTCATTGGAAGGAATCTGAAAATTTTTCCAGTGATTAAAATTTGAACTTTGATTATTCAAATCTAATAAGTTCGTTAAAATTTTGAACTATGATTATTCAAATCTAATAAGTTCGTTAAAATTTTGAACTATGAATTTTTATTGAGTTCAATAATTCAATTTTTCAGGTGGAATTCACGATCAGGGCTGGGGCGAGAGAAAGATCTTTGGAAAGATTCGATTCATGAATTATGATGGATGCAAACGAAAGTTTGACATCAAAAAGTTCATCGCTCGATATGGTGGAGTTGTTCATCACAAAAAGAAATAGATAACTGATCTCACAGAAATCAAGTAAAATTAAAAGACTGATGCTTCAATTTTTTTCAGCGCCAAAACATTTTTTTTCATACTTTAATAATATATATATTTAAAATGCGTATCATCACAAACGATTTTTGGTAACAATTTTTTTTGATGATTTATAAAATTTTCCTTAATACTATTGTTTTTGTTTGTTTGTTTTTTTGTTTAATAGAGTAGAAAAAACATTATTAACGATTTAAGAAGAAATGGCACACTTAACGACTGAAAACGGCGTGTGATTTTACATAATATTATTGCAAATTTTCTTTCAGTTAATAAAAATTTAATAAATACAAGTACAAATAATAAGGAAACTGTTTCAATATATAAATGTCTTGTATGATCGTAAAAACCAACACGTTATAAATATGCCTTAAAACATTGTTTTTTTTTTTTCTTGATATAATAATATAGCGTATAAATATCAAAGTTGAACAAACTTGCACGATTTTCTTCATTTATTAATTTGAAGCATCATAAAGAGATATAAATAAAGAATGTCTTTCTCCTTTCATAAAAGTAGTAATGAAAAGCTATATAAAGGTAATAATTTTGGTGTAGAATAACATTAGATTCTGCTAGTATCACGCACACATAATTTTTGTTTTGTTTAAGGTTGTATAACTTTAATTTTTCTTTCAATTGTTCCACGACACATTGGACAGCTTGTTAAATCACTTGAACAGCTAATGCAGCAACATAAATGACCTGGAATGATATCAAATCTATTTAAAGGCATATTCAGTATTATAATTATGTATTAAGACTGACCACAAGGCAGGAAAATGACGCGAGTGACGGCATCCATACAAATAACACATTCGACAGCATTTGTGGTAGTATTGTGCGATGACGAGGCACTTGATGTTGGGCTTTTGGGTATAGATTCCTGAGAGGGAGCAGTGGGCACTTGTGGATTAACATTATTAGTAGTGTCCGTTGAACAACAAGGTATGTCATCATCATCGATAGTTTTTGCATTATTATTATGTTTGTTATTGGCAAGGAAATCCTGAATTGCTCGTAAAACTCCTTCGCGATCTGTAGAATTTTTAATTCCAGCATTTTGCAGATCTTCATTTGTTACTTTGTCGAGAGCGAAACTTTTATGATTCCATATTTTAAGCAGGAATGGCACTACATGAATTACACCATTGAGCAAAAAATTATATCCCAAAACGGGATCAATTGATGCCTGTGCATTTTGCATGACTCCACTTCTATCAATCAATTTTTGGTATTGTAGCAGCCAGAAATCGTTCTCTGTCTTCTGATCTTCCATATCCGAAAGTGTTTGTAGCAGCTGACTTTTCCTCTTTTCCTTTATGTGCACGAGATAAGTTTTAGCGCATTTTTGTATACTCGTATACAAAAAGGGTTATTAATAGTGCGAAATGTTCGTTCGTTCAGCTGCAAGGTCGGGCGAAGAAAAACTTTTTAACCTGAAATCGTAGAGAGCTCAGGTTTGTTTTATTACCTCAGTTACTATTGATTTATCGGCCCATCGAATAGTTAAAAGTCTTAAAACAGTGCATTTATACTATAATTAATGATTTTTTTATTTCATAAACAAAACCACGTGATGAGTACGTTTAAAAAATTCAGCATTACCTCTATAATTTCAAATTTGTTCAAGGTATGTTTAGAAATTCAAATTTATTTTTACCGTTATAAAATTTGAATTTTAAAAACCGTTAAAGGACAAAAAACTTTTCGCTGTACCTAATGTTGAATATTTATTAAAATACAACGAATATGCTTCTATAAAGGCAAAATTTTATGCTTGTCAAATACTGATCGCTGCGTCAAAAATGCACTGAAGTCCCTCGATAAATTACACGAGGACTTTTGCAATTTTTTATTTGTAAACAAGATTATCGACTTTTTAATTACAATAATAGCTACCTGTTGATCCATCAAATCAAGCAAGATCATGGTCAAATTAGATCTCTTTTCAGCAACGTCATTTAGTAATTCTTCTTGATTGATTTTCTTTTTATCGATTTCATAATTTGTCATCGCTGTAAATATTCCATTATTGACTGTTTTAATGACACAAATTAATTTAATGACTTATGGGCAATTCTTTGGATGAGTGGAATTTGAAAAAAATGAGCTTTCATAATCCAATGTCAATGAGTTTTGTGCCAATAAAATGTTTTCTTTAATTTCATACAACTGTGAAGGAATAATAAGCCAGAACTTTCGTAAATCATAAAGCATAATTAATTCTTTACAAGTGATCTATTGAGATGTTACAACTCACCCAAATTAAGTGAAAAATTGAAAAAATATGTTTGAAAATTTTGTATTTTTTCACGGATTAAGACAAAAAAAAGCTTTTTTATAACTCGTTGACACAAGGAAATTTTTCAAAGATTTGAAATATTTCATTAATTAATGACTTAAAGCACATAGAAAAGCAACCGAATTAAAGATTTTTGTCTGTTCTATAACTCATTAAAAGTTATTTAATGTGGATATCAATAGTTTTCTCTAATTTTCGATTCTTCGGATGATGAAAATTGAAAATTCCGATTTCTGTCATCGAGTTATTGACTAAAGAATCCAAATAACTTAATTAATACAGCGATTAGAAGTATATAATATCAAAAGTAGTGTACATTTTAGATTTTTAAATCGATAAGAATCATAAAATCAGTGTCTCTGATAGGAAAAATCTATAAAAATTCAATTTTTTTATGAAAATTTTCCAAAAGTCATCCAAAGAATTGCCCTTATTGAGCTTACCGGCTATTTGTGCTTCAACAATTTTGATTTGTTCCATTAATCCCCAAGTTCGGGCATCATTTTTAGTTATTAAGGTTGCAACAGCTGATTTTTGCCATTCTTCATCTTGATTAATCTTCTCAACTAGTTGATTTCTATTTTTGTCGTACTCATCAAATACCTCATTGAGCAGTAGATTATTTTTGGTTTCGTTTTCCAGCAAAATTTTTGATGATTTCGATCGTTCTTCATTATAATTGTCGATGAGGTCTAGTTCTTGTTCCAACAGTTGAGACATGGCCGACAATATATCTTTTTTACGGAGTTCACTTTGCTCTGAATGAACCTAGTTTTTAAATGTATGAATGAGCTTAATTAATAATAAGATTCTACGCATTAATTAATTTTTGTCTTACTTTCTCTAATAAAGCATCGCGCGCTTTATCTTCAAGCTCTAATAAAGCAGGATCTGGTCCTTTTTTCAATGAAAGCAGCTCATTAACGACTACTGATGATGATACTTCGTCTAAAAAAACGGTTTTTAAAATTCAAATTTGAACTGAACGAAAACGAACTATTGGTTTTGTGAATTTTTTTTAAATATTTGAAACACGTTGAAAATGAATACTTACATTCCTTAATATCATCGATTAACTTTCGTCGCTCAACATCTTTCTCCAATTGAATTTTATTGACAGCATCTTCATTTAATTTTTGATGTTCCAATAATGACTTAAGCATTTCTTCCTTTTTCTTTTGATGTTCTTTCAACATTTGCTCGTTCGCTTCATTATTCATAAAGTCGTGTGCTTGTACTTTTTCTTTATTTAAGAACTTCTTCGTTGTAGCTGTCATTGAATCGTCATATATTCTACTTGTAGTTATTTTAGATTGTTGGTTGATTGCATTATCTTCAGCTTCAAAATCATTTGTTGCAGTTATGAGTTCCGAATAGTCATCTGTTTTAGAATTTAATTAGCAATATGTGCCATGATAATGATAAGGCATACGTACCACAATTTCTGAAGTATTTAAGTATGTTTATGGTTCCTTTTGATACAATATCCTTGGCTGGAGACTTGACGTTTTCATGGTCAAACACTAAATCGCTTAAATTGTCATTGGTTGCAAGTTCTTTTGGTAAAATTTCCAGTTTATTGTTACCCGAAATGTTGAGAATCCGCAAATTAGGCATAAATGATATTGAACGAATATCAACCAAGTCATTGTGTGAAACATCTAATAATTCCAACTGTTGAAGTCGATTCAACATGTTTGGGAGACGAGTCAAATTGTTGTGTGATATAAATAGCTCCTAATAATTATAGATAATATTTATAGATATATGCTTTATGTTTTGCATACACGAATTATTCATTCAAAGAACATATTATAAATATTTAATAGCATGCAATCATACTCATATCCATCATACAGTTTACTCACTTTTAGATTCTTTAGATAACATAATTCGGTCGGGATGATCTTGAACTTATTGTAGCTTAAATCGATGACTTTTATAAGTTCAAGTTCCTTTATATCTCCTCCAGAAGCTAACGATTTTAATTGATTTCTGCTGAGAATTAGAATTTCCTTTCGCATTACTTTGATGAATGCAAACGATACAGGCAATTTCTCTAATTTACAATCGGATATATCATAAATTGGCTCGGGATTATCTTTTGATAAGCATAACTTAGTCTCTAAACGAGACTTGTAGTCACTATTTTTAAGATTCTCCATTGTATCTTGCTTTCTGTCGTCTTGTACTGTATGTTGAGCATCTGAGTCATCGTCATAAATAAATAATCAAGTGGAAATCCGATAATGGCGAAATCATTAATTAATTTACCTACTTGTTATTATCACTAACTTTATATTTACCTTTTGAACAACCTTTTCCCATTAATTTGACCAATTTTGTATAGTTATGCTAAATTCACTACTATCCACTACGAACGAAATAAACTCAAAGAGAATTCACTGAAAAATTAATTAAATTTTGTGAAATAAAGCTTTTCAAAACATTCTTAATGCTTCTCAAGTTGGACGGCGAGCTCTCTCTACTCGCAGGGGGATTTCAATTCTGTCCATACGGGCTGATAGTGCATTTAACGGTTGTGAAAATTTTGAATTTTTTTTCTCTAAAGTTAAAAAATACAAAGAATTAATTAAAAAAGTGATTTGGAGTGTTTAATTAACAAAAAGGATGTCATCAAAGATTCAACAGGCTCAAGAGCATATTGCACAAGCTGAAAAATAGTGAGTCAAGCATAAAATATGCGAATATTTATGAAAATTTACTTTATTGATTTTGTGTTCAAGAAAAATCAATTTGATTTGATAAAAAAAATCTGTTTTCAGCTTAAAAACATCACTTCTTAAATGGCGACCTGATTATGATAGTGCTGCTGATGAATACAATAAGGCAGGCAAGTTAATTAAACTATTTAAAACCTTTTTCGTCTTTTTTAATAAGTCTTCTAATGTATAACATACAGCTATGGCATATAGAAACGCAAAACAGCTTAGTGAATGCAAAGATTGCCTGTTGAAGTGTGCTGAATGTAACAAACAGAATCGCCAATTATTCCATTCTGCAAAGGCTCTAGATCAAGCAATGCTCGTTTGTAAGGACTTGAATGATTTCAATTCAATTAGAAATCTCGCAGAAAGAGCCTGTCATTTGTATCAACAGCATGGATCTCCACAATCAGGTGCTGCAACTCTTGATAAGGCTGCTAAAATTTTGGAACCAAATTATCCACAAGAGTCACTTGCTTTATATCAACACGCACTCGATGTTTCAATGGTAAGCAAATTTTTCAAGTACTTGAACATGATTGATTTATATTCACTTCTCTCCCAATTTTCACTGTATCTTATATTAATAGATTGAAGATTCTAGTCGTCAAGCTACGGAATATGCCACTAAAGTTGCTCGTATTCTCGTAAAATTAAATATGTTTGATCAGGCAGCTGACGCAATTCGTCGAGAAATCGGTTTACATCAAACAAGTGAGGCTTATGGAGCAATCGGACGATTAGCTGTTGCTCTTGTACTCGTACAACTTGCTCGTGAAGATTATGTAGCTGCTGAAAAAGCATTTAAAGAATGGGGAAATTGTTGCGATCCACAAGAAGTTCAGACATTAGAATCTTTATTGCAAGCTTATGATGATGAAGATCCAGAGCTTGCTTTAAGAGCACTATCAAGTCCGTTCATTAAGCACATGGATATTGAGTATGCAAAATTAGCCAGAGATTTAAAACTACCAAAGGGATTGCAAGCACCAAAAGCAGCCGTTATTGAAAACGCAACAGCATCTTATGTATCACCTTCGACTGGCGGTGAATCTTCAACTATATCTCAAACGCCAGCTGAAGATGACGATGATGAAGGTGGATTGTGCTAAGTTTGTAAATTATTTACAACTACTATTTTATTAAAACGTGATGCAATTACATTGTTTGTTGAGTTTAATTATTTCTTAAAAAAAAATGTAACTCTATGCACATCGAAAATAGCGTGCGTGTAAAATAACTGAAGTAATTATTGAATGATTTTATGCGATTTTAATCGCAATTTGCTAATTTAAACTTGACAATTTATTTATTATTGTGATAAAAATAGTTTTATTTCTTTTTATATAAAAAAAAAATGTAAAATTTTAATCAACCATTGAAGATGTCAAGCATTAAATTGCTCAAAACTGTACAAATTAAGCTTTTCAAAGGAATTGTATGGTTTTCAAACACTAAAAAGAAACATTTGTGAGTTTTCTTGAAAACCACTCAAATGCAAATCAATTCAAGTTATAAGGTTTTAAAAACCATACAAAAGTTATTAAACTGCATTTGTACTGATTTGAGTCAATTGATTAGATTTAATCAACTTCAATACGTTAATATTAACAATTTCTTTTAAAATTATCATAAAAGAATGATATAAATATAAAAATACATATAACAAGTCAATGCAAATGTAAAATCAGCATGATTGATTACAGTAAAAAAAATGTTTTAAAAAAAGCTTCATTACGAAACAAATCCATCATCATTATCGTGGATAAAAGTTTGTCCATGTAACATTTTTTTGAGATCATCAATTGATTAGGGAGTGAATAAATTGTTCTTTCGCAATTCGTTATGAGAAAAAAAAAATTAAATATAGATATAACAAGATGAATAATTAAAAAATTTCCCTTTTTCAATGATAAAAGTAATTATTATGTATACATAAGAAAACAGGCAAGGAATTCTCTCAGATGCTACCATCAATTATGCAGCAGAGTATTCGCTTTCTATTCGATCCAAAAATGTGAAAAGTTTTGGCCAAAAATTTGAGAAACGCGAGATTTTACGGATGTATAAGTTACAGTAAGCTGATAGATGAATCAGCTGATCCAATAAAATTACAAACACAGATATAACATGCATAAACATGTAAAGAACTAGTGCATCCTCTAGTCAAGCATAACAGAACCGAAAAGTCACTTTTTTTAATCACGCGAAGCTACAAACAGCTGAATAGCTGGAATTATAGTATTAATAACACACAGTGGTGTGTTATCGATGTCACATTTGTGGTAGATTACACAGAGAAAGCTGACGATGATTATTCCTTGCCAAGAATCTTAATCCTCATTTTTAAAAAAAGTATATAAAGTCAAAGCTATTTATCATTAAGCATAAAATTAATAAGTTATGAATGAAAGTAAAGCTATGCCATGAAATAATTACGAAAGAGATGTCAATAGCTACGATGATGTTAAGTTTTGTTTTTGTGATGTGAATGCATTTCCACTACAAATTACACAAAAAACAAGGAATAAATTTATATTTTGAATGAAGTGTTTAGAGAATAATGTGAAGACATTTTTTTAAATGTTTTGCAAAGATCAGGAAGTGCTGTGAATAATTTAACCAAGACACTTGGCACTTGTGCTTCATTTTTTGCTCGCTCAGTCAGTAATTGCTAAATAAAGTACCTACAATTAAGAGAAATTTATTATTCCACGGGGTCGTTTGCTAATGACATCTAGCCCCGTACACCCTCCTCAATTTGCAAAAAGATTAAATTCTATCGTGAATATGAATGAAATAACTTCCCTTAAGCACATGAAGTCATTGGTGAACGACCCCGATTATATATAAAACGAAAGTATATTTTACGCCCAAAAACTTGTGAATTAAAACTTAAAATGCATCCAGAAGATTGAGAATTCAATAAAATGTATAAAAATATTAATGTTCAACTCACATATTATATTTTAAACTAATGATTATTGCGTTTTAGATGTCACATTGTTATTCCTTCATTACTTGACCGTATTCTCACTAATTTTATACTCGATGGAGCAAATGTGAGGATTAATATTAAAAGAATTACTAAAAATCCTATTAACGTATCGAAAAGCGTTGTAAACTTTGCCATGCTGCCAACAAAACTAAACTTTAAATCATGACACAACTGTCGATTCCTCTCTTCCCCACTCTCTCACCTCACATGTTCGTATTGATAAGATATGAAAAATATTGATAATGCTCGCATTTTTACACATTTTGACTTTGCATGTATTGAGATTACAAAGAGTAAACAAAATCTAGTCAAATATTTTATGTATTCCTGCATGTAGGCAATCCCATGTTGATTTTACAGATAAATTTCTTTTTTGTTTGTTTCCATCTGTTTTTCTCAATGGTGTTGACAAACTATTTACACTTTAGTCACTAAGTTCACACTTGCCGCTCTCTTTGGTAACATAATAGCGTGATAGATAAGCAAATTATTTGTAGGTTTATTGTTTTATTGCATTATTTTTAAGTTATTAATTAGTTTAGCAGTTTTTTGAATGATAACGAATTTTCAGAATTTGAAATGAGCACAAATTTTGATCAAAATCGTTCAGTTCTTCACGGTTTCATTTTATTTCAGTTCATTTGAATTCTGAAAAACCGTTAAAATTTAAATTTTTCCAATTTAGTTTTTAATGCTGTCTAATGGAGTCACAGCATAAAAAGCTTATGATTCTCTTTATAAATTGACTCATCTTATGCAAAATGAACATTTTAAGATTTTGAAATTATTATTGAATCACACCAATCATTGCATATTATTTCAATAATTTAATTAAAACTCATCATTTCAAAAATCAGTCCATAAATTCTTTACCGCTCTCAATCATCAAAATTTCCAAGTCACTTTCAACTAATCATGTGCATTAGCCAAAAATTCAGTGAATTTCAAGTCGATTGTCTCGAAGCTCATAATAATTTTCGAGTACAGCATGGAGCACAGAGAGTAGAACTAGATAAAGATCTTTGTGACTATGCTAAGACATATGCTGAATATCTTGCAAAATGTAATATTTTGGTGCCGAGTAAGAACTGTACATTTGGTGAAAATATTTTCTTCAAGTGCAGCGATCGCAAAATTTATCCCGATGCTATTGAGGTAGGTTCCGAATATATTAAATCTTATCAAAAAAATGTTATCAAGAAATTTCATGGTCTTTAGCCTGTCCTCAGTTGGTATGACGAAGGAAGAAATTGTAGTCCAAAGTATCCAAGTAAAGATATAAAGCATTACGCACAAGTGATTTGGAAAAGTACACGAGTCATGGGTGTTGCGTATGCCTTGAATAGGTAAATTGTATTTTAATATCTAAGGCGGGTAATCAATAAATCATCAATTTTTACAGCACAGAGACGAAGCTTTACGTCGTTGCTAATTATTATCCACCCGGTAATGATTATGCAACATTTTGTGATAACGTGAAGCCCGTCCGAAAGAGTTATGCTAAAAAGAATAAATCACTTCCATCGGTCGTTAAGATTGTTTGACTCCTTATAGCACCCAAAACAATTTGAACATCCATTCCATTCAATTGTCAATGAAAAAAATTTTTTAAAGTACTTGATGACTTACAAAAATAAACATCACATTTTTACTACTCCATTGATTCAATCAGTAAGGCACAATTACTTTATAAATTACTTTACATCCTCACTTTGTCTGACAAGAAAATGTCTCAATTAATTTATTATAACTTTATGAAAATGTATACAAGACGGAATGAATACACAAATTGTGTGGAGATAACAGATCCATTAAGTGGGGTTCTTGTATTGACGTGACCTCCTTTGTAGATTTCGCTAATCTTTAATAAAATACGATCGTTCATAAATTTAATGCATGCGAGCGAATTTATATTCTGTTGCTTATTAATGGCTACTCAATTATCTATTCAGAAATTTCGCTTACTTTCCCATTCTCGTGCATAAAATATATTTGACAACTTTCAATCGTTAATTAATTGAATTTTATTAAATCATCATAAATAATAAATTTTGTTATCAAGACAGTCAGTTGCTTTATTGCTGCTATACGAGAACATTGATCATTTCCGATCGATGTGAGTTGGAGTGGCGCATTGGTCAACTTCTGACGTGGCTTACATTTGAAACGGGGACAAAGAGATCTAGGGTTCGAGTCTTGTGGAATATCTGAATCAAATTGATTGTTGAATTTCCAGTACATCTCATACATAACCCCCCCCCCCCCTCCCCTTCTATTCCAAAGCAACTCAATTTTTTCACATGAAAACTGCGCCATAAAAATTATTAGAAGCAGTTCCCAAACTCATAAACAACTTGTTTCAATAACTGATGTGTCAGTTCATATTTTGCTGTTAGTTCAAAGCAATGTGTTAAAGGAGTTAAACGCGGAACTAGTTCAAGTGGCAGAATACTAAAAAATTCTACAGTTTTTCAATTAAATTTTTTGATTTTTCTAGTGAAAATGTGCGAAAACGAAAAGTAAGGAATATTTTTATGGATCATTGTATTAATGGAACTTTTTAATTATTTATTGTTTTGTTCGAGCCTTCATAAAATCGAGTGAACTCATTTATTGCATTTTCACATGACTTAATTTTTTTGAATTTTCCAAGTCAGAATTGCTTCACATAAAGTCATACATCATAAATAATGATGTAACTTTCAAGTTTAAGTGCTAGCTTCATACGTCATTGACTAATTATATGATAGTTCCTTATAATTAGAATCAAATCAAAGTATTGAGCGACATTGAGCCAAACTACCCAAATGCAATTTGATGATAAGACTGGAAATAATTTATATTATACACTTATAAACTGATAAGACAATGTGTCCCGCTGTCTCAAAGCGATCTCTGCTGTTTATAAGACTTTTATGACTCATATATTACATTGAATATCGCGACACTAGCAAGCTATAATAGTGTTTTTATCTTACTCGATTAAGTAAGTTAATTTTTTTGGGGGTATTTATAACAGAACAGCCTGTTTATCATGTAGACTTGATATACATCTTCAAGTATTTTAACACCAGTTGTGTCAATTCTATCTCGAGTCTGGAGAATAACAATATTACGTCGGCTATCAGCTGTTTCTATATTTATGCAACTTTTAACTTCCACGCAAAAGCGTGTAAGTTATTAGTTTCACGAAAAACACACTTTTTTTAATACAGCCTGAAGGACTCATTTTCAAAAATCTCAAATGGTACCAAAATGTGTGTATTAGAAGGCCGGATTTTTCTGTACATAAACTTTTACATTTGGACATCATCTATGCCTTCAAAACGCCAAAAAACGTCTTTTTTGGGTCTAAAAATTTGGTGATCGGGTCACAGCCGAGCCATAAGGGTCTTGGAAAATAATTCGAAAATAACTCGATCACACTACATAAGCAATTAGGGGGATCGAAAGTCATTTTTCGAAATTCTCAAATTTTCAATAGTTTTGAAACTGTCAAAATTGGAAAACCTTGGAATAATGGTAATTTTCTTAAAATTCTTGCGGCACCAGACTTTTTTCAAACTAGATATTATATTGAATTTCATCTTATAGTCCTCAGCAAGAGCTTTACAAAAATACCCCATATGACTATATTTTGACTTTAACATGACTTGCTATAACGGGATCATAGTAGGCTATTTTCAAAAAAAATATCGATTTTATATCTTTATTAGCATTTTTTATCATTTATGATACCTAGATATGTTTTAAAATGCAATTTAAAGCATTTTTGGTTTCGATCATAGTAGGCTATTTTCAAAAAAAAAATATCGATTTTATATCTATATTAGCATTTTTTATCATTTATAATACCTAGATATGTTTAAAAATGCAATTTAAAGCATTTTTGGATTTGATCATAGTAGGCTATTTTCAAAAAAAATATCGATTTTATATCTATATTAGCATTATTTATCATTTATGATACCTAGATATGTTTAAAAATGCAATTTAAAGCATTTTTGATTTTGATCATAGCAGGCTATTTTCAAAAAAAATATCGATTTTATATCTATATTAGCATTATTTATCATTTATGATACCTAGATATGTTTTAAAATGCAATTTAAAGCATTTTTGGTTTCGATCATAGTAGGCTATTTTCAAAAAAAAAATATCGATTTTATATCTATATTAGCATTTTTTATCATTTATGATACCTAGATATGTTTAAAAATGCAATTTAAAGCATTTTTGGATTTGATCATAGTAGGCTATTTTCAAAAAAAATATCGATTTTATATCTATATTAGCATTTTTTTTTATCATTTATAAAACCTAAATATGTTTTAAAATGCAATTTAAAGCATTTTTGGTTTTGATCATAGTAGGCTATTTTCAAAAAAAATATCGATTTTATATCTATATTAGCATTTTTTATCATTTATAATACCTAGATATGTTTTAAAATGCAATTTAAAGCATTTTTGGTTTCGATCATAGTAGGCTATTTTCAAAAAAAATATCGATTTTATATCTTTATTAGCATTTTTTATCATTTATAATACCTAGATATGTTTTAAAATGCAATTTAAAGCATTTTTGGTTTTGATCATAGTAGGCTATTTTCAAAAAAATATCGATTTTATATCTATATTAGCATTATTTATCATTTATGATACCTAGATATGTTTTAAAATGCAATTTAAAGCATTTTTGATTTTGATCATAGCAGGCTATTTTCAAAAAAAATATCGATTTTATATCTATATTAGCATTTTTTTTTATCATTTATAAAACCTAAATATGTTTTAAAATGCAATTTAAAGCATTTTTGGTTTTGATCATAGTAGGCTATTTTCAAAAAAAAATATCGATTTTATATCTATATTAGCATTTTTTATCATTTATAATACCTAGATATGTTTTAAAATGCAATTTAAAGCATTTTTGGTTTCGATCATAGTAGGCTATTTTCAAAAAAAATATCGATTTTATATCTTTATTAGCATTTTTTATCATTTATAATACCTAGATATGTTTTAAAATGCAATTTAAAGCATTTTTGGTTTTGATCATAGTAGGCTATTTTCAAAAAAATATCGATTTTATATCTATATTAGCATTATTTATCATTTATGATACCTAGATATGTTTTAAAATGCAATTTAAAGCATTTTTGATTTTGATCATAGCAGGCTATTTTCAAAAAAAATATCGATTTTATATCTATATTAGCATTTTTTTTATCATTTATAATACCTAGATATGTTTTAAAATGCAATTAAAAGCATTTTTGGTTTTGATCATAGTAGGCTATTTTCAAAAAAAATATCGATTTTATATCTTTATTAGCATTTTTTATCATTTATAATACCTAGATATGTTTTAAAATGCAATTTAAAGCATTTTTGGTTTTGATCATAGTAGGCTATTTTCAAAAAAAAAATATCGATTTTATATCTTTATTAGCATTTTTTATCATTTATAATACCTAGATATGTTTTAAAATGCAATTTAAAGCATTTTTGGTTTTGATCATAGTAGGCTATTTTCAAAAAAAATATCGATTTTATATCTATATTAGCATTTTTTTTATCATTTATAAAACCTAAATATGTTTTAAAATGCAATTTAAAGCATTTTTGGTTTTGATCATAGTAGGCTATTTTCAAAAAAAATATCGATTTTATATCTATATTAGCATTATTTATCATTTATGATACCTAGATATGTTTTAAAATGCAATTTAAAGCATTTTTGGTTTCGATCATAGTAGGCTATTTTCAAAAAAAAAATATCGATTTTATATCTATATTAGCATTTTTTATCATTTATAATACCTAGATATGTTTTAAAATGCAATTTAAAGCATTTTTGGATTTGATCATAGTAGGCTATTTTCAAAAAAAAAATATCGATTTTATATCTATATTAGCATTTTTTATCATTTATAATACCTAGATATGTTTTAAAATGCAATTAAAAGCATTTTTGGTTTTGATCATAGTAGGCTATTTTCAAAAAAAATATCGATTTTATATCTTTATTAGCATTTTTTATCATTTATAATACCTAGATATGTTTTAAAATGCAATTTAAAGCATTTTTGGTTTTGATCATAGTAGGCTATTTTCAAAAAAAAAATATCGATTTTATATCTTTATTAGCATTTTTTATCATTTATAATACCTAGATATGTTTTAAAATGCAATTTAAAGCATTTTTGGTTTTGATCATAGTAGGCTATTTTCAAAAAAAATATCGATTTTATATCTATATTAGCATTATTTATCATTTATGATACCTAGATATGTTTTAAAATGCAATTTAAAGCATTTTTGGTTTCGATCATAGTAGGCTATTTTCAAAAAAAAAATATCGATTTTATATCTATATTAGCATTTTTTATCATTTATAATACCTAGATATGTTTTAAAATGCAATTTAAAGCATTTTTGGATTTGATCATAGTAGGCTATTTTCAAAAAAAAAATATCGATTTTATATCTATATTAGCATTTTTTATCATTTATAATACCTAGATATGTTTTAAAATGCAATTTAAAGCATTTTTGGATTTGATCATAGTAGGCTATTTTCAAAAAAATATCGATTTTATATCTATATTAGCATTATTTATCATTTATGATACCTAGATATGTTTAAAAATGCAAT